TAATGCCACGCTCATGGCCAAATTAGTCAGGCCTGCTGTGGGGGAATCCTCCTGGGGTCAGTTCCACGGTACAGCACAACACACACGTACACCCCACTACATCCACATAAAGTGAACGTTACTACTTAGACCTACAAGATCACATTCATAAACTACAACAACAGCAAGGTTAGTGCAGTCTGCCTCTGCAAAAACTGTACTGCTTCAGAAAACATACTCTTAAAGGAATAGTTAAGCATTTAGAGAAATCAGCCATTCACTTTCTTGCTGAACATTACACACGTCTCTACGATAAATATGAAACTACAGTCATCGTGGTATTAGTTTAGCATAAAAACTGGAAACATGAGAAGAGCAAGCCATCAGGAACGTAACAAAATGTCAGTCTGAAAACATCAATTTTGGGGGTTGCAGGGTTTAAATTATTTCTTGACCAGTGCTCAGCAACCTAAAATTCATGACAACACCCCAGCAAGTCACTTGTGAAGCCAAGAAAGAGTCCGGTACATGATCCCCTTTAGCTCAAGTTGTTTTTGGACTTCGGTTTGTGTATAGATTTATGACACAAAAGACAATGTGGTAGGTAGATTTTGCTATCTTTGGACAGAGCAAAGCTCGCTGTTTTCTTTCATTTCTAGTCATTATACTTAGTTAAACTAATCAACCGCTTGCTCCAGTTTCAAAATGAACAAACAGATAGTGTATGTGAGGGGTATCAAACTTCACATCTAGATCTTGGCAGGAAAGTAGAGCATATTCACTAAAATGTCACGATACCTGCTTGCAGATTATTCTAACTGACATCAGACAAGAGGAGAATTACACTCACACTATTCCTTTAGCACAAATTTAACACAGGAGATTGGGCATTTTGAGATTGGGGACTCAGTAGCTGATTCTTTTCACATCACACTCACACACACACACACACGCACACACACACAGAAACAGTGCCCTTCTCTTTTGACCTTCTCTATACAAAACTCTGACCTGCTTTCCCTCTGTGTGTACAGCTGACAGCTCTTGCTCACAGTGATTATCTGTCCTTGACTATCTTCTCAATCCCTCTTACTATGAAATGATCCCCTCAATCACCCCCAGCATACACACAAACGCAGCCACACACACATGCATGCACATTTAGGATGAGGTCCGCACACCTTCCACCCCACAGAACGTGCACCTGTCTTAGCCTTGTTTATATTAATCTAATCCTCCTTGTCTGCAAGCATGATAGAATTTCAAGAATCAATACTTATTTATTAGAACTCCTAGATCCTGTATTTATATATGCGTGCGCTCATGCGTGTCTATTTTCATAACATTGTGTCGCCGCCACTCGCTGCTTGCCTCATGCTGAGAGAATGCGCGCGATAGCTGCTGGGATATTTGCAGCTTTAATAGATGCAATGTCAGAAAAACCTGCTTGTAACACCACATACCGAGCCACTATGTTTTCACAGACCCCAGTGAGGCACACTGTATCAATTGCTGTCCACACTGAGCCCAGGCCTAATTCATAAGCCGATGACAGGACAGTGAATCAACATTGTCACTGTCATTTGGGAATTTTATGAGTCATAGGCCAGGGAATGAACAGTTTGGAGATCATAGACATGAGCTTTGTGGCGTCCTGGTATGTTCACCGCTCTGATGAGACAGAGGATTTGTAGGACTTTCTTGATAATGTCGAGGTAAATAGATTTGTGCAATGTCATATGAATATAACAAGGCAGACACCTGCTGAACTGAACGATGGGCCTATTTGTGGCTGGGAAATGATGAGTTTAATTAAATCACGACACAATTTAAATCCCACTCTCAAGGCCTGACTCTCCCTGAAAGGTGCTGTAATTGAAATTTCATACAATCAACAAATGAAAGAACAACAGAATGTAGCTGAAATTCAGTGATAAGCCAACTGTACACTGTCTTCCTAGCATCAAAAGACATAGACAAAGTTAAAGGGAGCTTTTTTCCAATAGATATTTTCCTCAAACGTTGGTAGATACCAGACTTTTATTTATCTGGTGGCCAGCCATACATCCATTATCTATACACCGCTTAATCCTCACTAGGGTCACAGGGGGGCTGGAGCCTATCCCAGCCGACTTCGGGCGAAGGCAGGGGACACCCTGGACAGGTCACCAGTCTATCACAGGGATACACAAAGGCAGACAACCAAGCACACTCACATTCACATCTACAGACAATTTAGAATCACCAATTAACCTCAACATGTTTTTGGACTGTGGGAGGAAGCCGGAGAACCCACACTGCACGAGGAGAACATGCAAACTCCACGCAGAAAGATCCCGGACGTCCTAACTGGGACGTGAACCGAGGACCTTCTAGCAGCAAGGCGATGGTGCTAACCACTGAGCCTTTCTGGTGACCAGATATATGCAAATAATTTTAATGTCTAGTCAATGTCTAATTAGTCAACCCAGATACTGAAATGTTAGATGCTAATTACTTTTTCTATTCTGATTAAACATAAAGAAATTCAATAAAAGAACAGCAATGTCTTTGGAAGCTTAACTGTCTAGCAACACAATAGCATTTAAGTCCTTTGTTTGTTTTTGTTCTGGCATTCGCACCAAACATTTTCAACAACCGCCCATTGTACAGCAAGCATAAATTTTGCAGTTACGGAAGTATTTTATTTAAAAGACTGTAAGATCAGAACTTGAAAGCTGCTGTTCCACTCAGTGTCATTCACATCAGCTTTGTATCAGGTTTCAGAACAAAAACACAAGAAATATTAGTTGAGGATTCAAAAATTCTATGTCTGTGTCAACACTGATTTGTGTCAGTAAGGATGATGGCATATACTCTCCCTGAGAACATCGCCTAAATTAGATTAAGGCTAAAATAGGACTACATGTGGTATTAAAGAGAAAAAAAAAAACTTGTAGTGTGCATCCATCCTTGGTCAGGAGGGTTTATGCACCTGCACGACTTCATTTACAGGTGTCGACTGATTCTCTCACTGGACGGTCACAGGGACTGACCAAGTGACCTTAACCTTCCTCACCCCAGTGCCACATACACACACATGCTCCTACCCCTAGGGGATGGTGGGGCAAGTTTATACTGGGACACAAAGACAAGCATTATTCCTCTATATCCCTTACACCAAACCACTGGGACTAAGGAGAGGGTGAAGGATTTCATAATTTTTTATGAGATTGTATCAAAATATTTTGGAATTTCTTTCTATTTTTGGGAAAAACCTTTCAGGGAAACACCTGATATTAACCTTTAAATTCAGACATTTAATAGAAGTATTGCACTACAGTTGTCGAATACAAATGTATACTTTTTTGTGGGTATTTGATTTACATGTGTAACTGTAATGCATCACTTAATATCCTTGTTACAGTCTGGATCCGGGAGTCTGCCTCAGTGGAGGTGAAAGAGTTTAAAACAATGCATCAATCTCTGTTATGTCTCACTGTCCTGGTCCTGAGTTAGTACAGGGCAAACAGGGAAGTATTCCCATAAAGAAAGAGCCTGCACTGTGTTTGCATTGCTTTCTTCAGCTCAGTGACTGATGGAAGACCAGAAGCCACAGGGAGGAAAAGCACTGGACTTGTGCATACTGTTCCCCCTAAACATCAACACACTAGTTAGACAAATGAAGCTTCAGCCCCCCTTTCCACTGCTCTGCTGCGGCCTCGCAAAAACCTGGAGGTAAATCGCAAGGTTTCCACGTTGAAGAGAATTTATCACCTGAACGTCTAAACCTGTTTTACCTGCATCTGTATGCTTAAGATCTGCCAACAAAATGATATTTCTTTATATGTTCTTAACATGAAATACTTTCAGGACAAACAGAGTCCTTGCATGTTCTTCTTATGTGAGTTTTCACAAATTTATTTTTTAACTTTTATAGGCCATTTTGCCCTGGAATGATCTTCCATATTGTGTAACTGTAAGGCAAAAAAACATCAAATTTGGACTCATTAGAGAAAGGTCAAGTGCTACAGTTCACCATGCTGATACTGTCTGCCAGGAACATGTGCCTCAAGCTTCAATGGAACTAACTCCCTCTAGAGGTTATATGATGAGATGCTGCAGCTTTCTTTGTGGCATTTTCTCTCTTCATGCCAAACCATCCCTGCCACTAAAAAAAGACAACATGGAAATTCATTAGAACATCTTGTAAAGCACATTTTATAAGCTACATGGTGCATGAAATAATAATAAACTAGTACATCTTTACGTAGAGTTTTGCAGATCAGTCTCAGATGTCATGTTGAAAATAAATAGAAGACACGCTGCAAAGTTACAGTGTGACTGGACTGACTTTAAGGTCTCCATTTGCTGAAAGAAAAGAGGACAAATGATCTGAAGGCACACAATAACATCTTAACACCTGCTGCCAGAGTGGAGCTTCTTCTTTTTCTCTCAGTGCTGTTGTAGTTCGGCTGCTGGGATTGTGTCCAAACCAAAGCAAACTCATCTTTAGGGATTTTATAGATTGTTATGTAATGTTAGTGTTTGAGGGAGGGGGGACACTTCTTCTGTCAGCTGTGGAAACTGATTTACAAGCAATTCTGTAAATTTAAACATGGGAAAATAAATGTTTGAAAAGAAGTGTGAAGTCGTTTTTATAAACGGTGAGTGTTTAAAGCGTCACTAGAAGAACAAATCCAAGCAGAAATCATAGAAAAGCTTTACAGTGCACATTTCTAAACCCTCGCTGAAATAACTTTAGTATCTCTCTCTCTCTCTGTCTGTCTCTCTGACGCGGGGGGCATGCCCTCTAAATAAACTTTGGCGCTCATAGGGGGAGAGAGAGGGATAGAGAGAGAGACAGAGAGAGAGAGAGAGAGAGAGAGAGAGAGAGAGAGAGAGGGCTGAAGTCATCAGCGGGCCGGCGGGAGGGGAGTGAATGGGTCCTGCACGCAAAGCAGAAAAGCGCTGAAACTGCGGAGATTTACTTTGGTTCGGTTGCAGCTCAGATACAGCGAGGAGGAGAAGGTGTGTGTGTTTGACAGCAGGACCTGCGAAACATTCACCTCAGAAACTGCGTGATTGCCGGTGTCGATCCTGTAGCGCGCTTTGACTTTTTGCGCTTCAGCTGATGCTGAGATGAAGCCGAGAGCCTGAGCGCTCCTTTGCACAGTCGCGTATCCACACTCAGACCGGGACGCATCTCCTCTGAGAGAGACGGGGACAGGGAGGGAAAGCTCAATTTGGAGTTCTACAAATGGATTTAACATCTTAAACTTCTTGAGGGACGTGTTAATTCTTAATCAATAATTCTTCTCATCTTTTTTGACCCACACTGATGTTTGAGTCTGCTTTCCTCCTGCGCGCAACGGATGACAGTGAAGCTTTTTGGTGCGTTTGGTTTTGTTGGAGGGAATGTTCTTTATCACAGCGAGGATAACAGACCCCTGACTCAGTCTGGCACATATGTGGACCCTATCCAGGATGTTACAGTCTAAGTGGCCCAGGCATCATTGGGCCACCGTACACTACCATCACCAAATATCACCACATAGCTGGGGGTCTTGCTGTGTCTAGGAATTATCTGCACTCCGGACTCTGCCTCCGTCTGGGGAAGAAAACGGAATCTTATCCGAAAAGTGTTTTGGTGAACATTGACATTAGCTTTACGAGTCACACCTCTGGGCTACTATGCAATTACAACTGATCTCCTTTGTTTTGATCATCTTGCACTGCATGGATTACACTGGTTGTCAGCAGCACAGCAGCTCCAGGCACCGGCCGCATAAACGTGAGTATAGTGAAGTGCAGCGTGCTACCTGGCATTTGGTGCACAAAGTCACACTCTTTGATATATATTTGTTATTTTATTTTTATTTTAATGTGAAGTTTAAATTTCGCTTTACACTTACGATCTATTGACCTCGTAGAAGTGTAGGGTCACAAAGGTCTTCAGCCAGTATTCTTCTGGCAAGAAAACTGATCTTCTAATTTTCAGCCTTTCCTAAATTTCTAAATGAAAGTCTGGCGATATTTTTTGTGTACTTTGTAGTAAGTTGACAGTCACTAAACAAACCTTTACGTGCACCAGCTCGATGGTTTATCTGGACATGACTGCATAAAATTTCAGGTGATGCGTAATACTGCCCTTAAGACTGTACTGGTTCTCCTACAATGAAAACAATATTATATATTATTACTTTTACACTCTGAACTCTGTTTTTCTGGCTTTGAATTTTAAATTGTTTAATTTGATAAATAATGTTACAAAATTGATTTTTTTTTTTTTCTTGGATTCTTCGGCCAATTCAAGCGCAAGTCCCCCAATCTATTGTTGCATTACCAGAATGGCTCACCGAAACCTTCATCAATTTTACCATTATTAGAGCACCTTTCATACGTTTTTTTTTTGTTTGTTTGTTTTTTTTTTTTTTTAGCCCTAATTGAATTAATTAATTGTTGTGTCACCTGAAGCCTTCAGCTGCTGCTCTGAGCGCTCAGTCTCCTGGTTCCCGTCGCTCTCTAGCGGCCAGCGCAGCAGACTTCAGGCACCGACTTTGCTTCTCGCCTATCAGGGCTGATCAGTGTTTAAATGTATATTCACGCCTCAGTTCCCATATTTGGTGATATAACGCGTCTGTTAAATTTATGCCCTTCAATTGCAACATTTTATAATTTATGGGCAGAAGATGTTTCTGCTGTTGGCCCATGCCAGTCAGAAATGGAACTCAGATTCACCATTTCAAATCATGTCCAATCGTAGTCTTAAAACTGTTCAAAATGTAAGTTAATGCAGCATTGACAGTTGGCTCCATCAAACTCCAGAGATGTCCCACACTGAGTCTGGAGGTATTTCATCTCCCATATATCTCCCTGGGCTCCAACATTATGTCTCAACTCTTGGGCTAAGACCAGTTTTTTTTCCATGACACTATGAAATAAGTATCAATAAAGTATATTTTTCTGTTCTTCCTACGCACACTTTATCACTGAGGGTCTCCAGATGTGCTCTGTGACTAACTCTGTTAGAGAAGAGCAGTGATAACTGGAATATTCCATGTATCACTTGCCAGCGTGGCTGAAAACTGTCTGTGATCTACAATAATAGACATTCAGAGTGATGTTTTTATGCCTGCCACCTGGGACTGAAACTTCTCACTATGTCCTTTTCTCTTTATACTTGATCACCGAGCTCAGATGTGATCTGGATAGTTTTTACTGTCAGGTTATACCTACCACATGTAAGGAGTTGATTTTATTCTTATTTAAATATGTACAAATGTAGAAAATGTAGACAATGTAGTGTCTGCTTTATACCCTGCATCAAACTCCTCTCTTTCAAAGTTTTTTTTCCCATAAACTATAATAAAGAGTCTCTCAACGCAGTGTGAGACAGGTTCCTGATAGTACGTATGTACTTTTTTCTTAAATTGTGCCTCAAGATTGAAAACAGCAAAAACATGCAGCTTTTTGTAAAAGCAGACACATTTTTTTAAGTCGGTTTGCTTCTGTGCAGGATGATACACTGAAATGTGTATTTTAGACACAGTATGCACATACTGGACTATGTTGTGAGATGGCAGCCCTCAAGCCTGATTACAGTTCTGTGAGGTGTAACCATTAACTGAAGAGTTCTTCTAAGAATCCAAACTTCCGCTGAGGATGCAGATATCTAACACTTCCTGAAATATCAGGGAGGATGGAGGGATTAGTTGGTGAAGGGGTGAACGAGTACAGACTTTAGAGGGAAAGAAGGGGGTAAGAGTGAGTGGAAAGTCAATGACCATCCAGTTAAAAGGCCAAAATTACCATGCAGATACAGAACCCTAACTCCGAGCTTCCTGTCAGTGATGATGCTTTAAAAAATGAAGGCATGGGTGCAAACAGTTGGAATTCCATTCATTTTATGTATTTTATAAAGACAATACAGTTTAATGAGAGATGAATATGGTTGTTTTAGCACATGAATTAAGGCTAAGAGTTGAGTTTGTACCTTGTAAAGGAAGGGAAATCAAATGTGTTGCATGATAGAATCCAAAAGAGGTAGGCTTTTTAAAACTGTGGGTATAATGTTTTTTTAACTTCTGTTTTGTTTTTGTTCTGTTTTCTGTATAAACCATTCTTGCATGTGTGTGTGTGTGAATGTGTTTATTTCATATGTGACTTCGTTGGTATGTTACCCAAGATACCGCTGTCCAACTGAGGTTTCGTTGGTGCAAGCACGGGGGCAAGGCCAAATTCCTGCGTCTTAAGGCTTCTGTGAATCAGGGCAGCTTGGCAGGAACACATGTGGGCAAATGGACAGCAGTTGTAAAGATAGTCAAGATATTTCAAACAAAGTATCCATGATCTATGGTAAACTGGCAGCTAAACCCTGAACTGAAAAAGATGGCCAGCGTAAGCCAGTGGCATGAAATGCCAAGGCTGGAGAGGAAAACCAATTCCTTGGGTACTTACAGGGGTTACTTTTAATTTACCTGCCATATGTGACTGCTGAAACACTTTCAAAACAACATCTTTGGGAAGAGAGCAGCGATACAGCATGGGTGAACAAAAATGTAGAGCATGAGACGTCTCTCATAGCTATTGCCTGTATACTGACTCTGTCACAGGTGCCACTCCTTGTATGGATAAATATGTGGCTGTCACATGCTTGTCCCTGGGTTTATTTTCTTAAATCCCACAGCCTTGTACCACTTTCCAGATTTAACTAAAGCATTTCTAACAGAAATATACTATACCTGTTTCCTCACAAAGACAGCGATCCTGTAATTGTAGCATAAAGACCAGAAGCTTTAAACTTCCTCTCTGAACTGCCCAACAGCACAGAACCTGTCATCTGTATCTGGTGGTTTTCAGAAGAATGACCCAAGCCCCCTTTGTTACTCCTCTTTGTGGTCTACGTGCAATCAGATACCGAAAAAGATATCATATACAAGCTTTTCCAGGAGGAAAGTTAATACGAGTCAGTGTTTTCAGTCATAAACTTTAACACACCATCATTGTGATACGAACTTGCTGTAACTTGGGAGACATTAAAAGGCCTGTGTCTAAGCTGTCAGCATACAGTTAAAATGATTAAAACCTACAACCAGGGCTTTCGTCCTTGGAGGATGAAGTCTGGTGAATCATCTCAGATATTAGTGTAGAGTGAGGGATGAAAACCGTACTGTAAAATATATCAACATAAACTAAACAGTGCAGTACTTATGTACATACACAGGGTTGTAAACATGGAATAAATTGCTGCCGTTGGCACTGGACTATCAGTTAAATTGCTTTGACAGTAAGTGGGTTGTCTGATATGTATGATATTCTATAATGTAACTCTTGTGCATATGATTAATGCCTTGTGCTTAAACATGTAGTTTTGGACTGATTCCCCGTTTTCATTAGGTTTTCTTTTCAGCACTGGCTGTTTTTAACTGATTTGTTGAAAGTGGTTCTGTCACATAAACCCACAGTGTTTCTTTATCCTATTGCCTGTTACCTGAAGTACTGATCTGTGGGATGCAGTAAACTAATATATAAATCTTAAAGTACACCAAAAGTGAGGTGTAGGGCTAAAAAAATAAAAATAAAAAAAATACTGGTGTTGGTACAGTAGACACGAGAATCAGCATGCACAGTTGTGCCATAGAAAACAGATGAAAGACTTTTTTTTTAATCCACTATTAAAGTTACACTGTCTGAAATTTCTAAACTTTGATAAGTTCTGTACTTTGTTTAAAGTGGACTTAAGATATAGTTATAAGCCTGGTGCTGTTTTGTGATGTGCAAGAGGCTCTATAATAAAATCTTTTGTCTTTTTTTTTTTTTTCTCAAGAATTCTTGTGTGCAGATACATTACAGCTGCAAAATTAAAGAAATAAAGATGGAGAATGAATGTGAATAGACTTAGAAATAGTGAGAAATGCAACTTATTTAAAGACTGCATGGGTTTGGTCCAAAGTATCCACCACTGAAGTGTGGCTGTTTAAATGCCAAGTTCTCATCAAAATAGCTGGACAAATTATGCAAAAAGACAAATACAATTTTCATAGCGTAATCTTAATATTTTCCATATATATCCATCATGTGAAACATGTCCTCCTGCTCCTGTCAACAGAGATCTCTGGTGTGAGCTCAGGGTGCCAGCAGGGTGGCTGTCTGACCTGCTCGGACTACAATGGCTGTCTGTCCTGCAAGCCGCGCTTCTTCATGCATTTGGAGAGGATTGGGATGAAGCAGATCGGGGTGTGCATGACTTCCTGTCCTCCAGGCTTTTATGGCACACGCTCCCCAGAAAGAAACACCTGCACAAGTGAGTCATAATGAGTAACGAACTGGGTTTGTATAAAAAAATGATTACAGCATTTTAATGAAAATATTCTTCCCTGTTGAAATGAACAGACATCAAGAGGTGTGGAGACAGTTACCAGTCGTCTGCGTAATTAAATGGAGGATGGCCATTAGATTCAGCAAACACACACAGAAAAGTATCTTAAAGTTAAATGGGATCTCTTAACAGTGTGTTTTACTACAAACACATACTGTAAAGTTTAGTTGGTTCTGAGACATCGGCAAAATTTGGGCTATGTCCTTCCTCCGTATACACTTCTTTACAAGCACTGGTTTCAAAACATTCTTGTAAAATATGACCTTGTCTATATATATATGTACTCAAATTATTCAGAAACTTGTTTCTAGTTACCTTGTAAAGTATGTTTCTGTTGGCAATGTTAAATTAAATCAAGTGCTGCCCTACTTAAAATCATTTATCACAAGCCAACCTGTAAAATCCGCCTGCAGAGGCCTATATTGTTTTCCCAGTCAGACATGTACACACACACACACACACACAGAGGCACACACACGCGCACACACACTGACACCCTGTATATTTAACGCGCACGATAACTTGTTCGGTTTAAATAAACGCTGGCGGTGGGTCTGTGTTTCTCTGTCAGAGTGCAGGTCGGAGTGTGACTCCTGCTTCAACAAGAACTTCTGCACGCGCTGCCGAGCAGGATTCTACCTTCACCTGGGCAAGTGCCAGGAGAGCTGCCCTGAGGGCCTGGTCCGCAGCGACACACAGAGGGAGTGTGTTCCCAGTGAGTGCTTAGGGATGGAGATAAAACATAGTGATGACCTTTTTTAGTTAACTCTGTTTCCCCTGCTATGTAAAACATGTTAAACTCAGATGTGCTGTTGTGTTTGCAGAATGCCCTGCAGAGTGTGAGGCGTGTGTGAACAGTGAGACGTGCACACGGTGCCGGCCAGGTCTATACCAGCTCAGTGGGAGGTGCCACCATGTCTGTCCAGAGGACTACGAGCCCAATGATAAACTCATGGAGTGCACACTGCAAGGTCAGTCCAATGGGTGTGTGTGTGTGTGGGTGTGCATGTGTCATTAAAAAAAAATGACTGCCAAAGATGCTTGATCTGTCCAGCTCCAAATGGAAACTACACTTAAGTAAAAGAGAGTAACCATATTTAAAAGTTTACAAAACATTTCCTCACTTCTCCTTTTACATATGTTCCCTGTCAGTGCACTGTGAGGTGGGTGAGTGGAGCGAGTGGAGCCCTTGCTCTAGGTCTGGAAGAACGTGTGGCTTCAAGCGGGGACAGGAGACCCGCACGAGGCAGGTCCTGCAGTACCCATCGCCCTTTGGCAAGCCCTGCCCCGAGATCTCTGAGATCAAAGAGTGCCTGGTGAAGAGGAGGAAATGTCCAGGTAAAGAAAACAAAAGTTGTCAGATCCTGATTTAAGATTTTTCTAATCAAGCATATGAACCTAAAATTTGAAAAAACAAAATGATCAGAATGCCGGTCGTACTGGCTGTTGAACCATCATTCTCACTGCCAACACTGTATTTGTGACACATGGCACGATTTCAGCTCTCTATGAATTCCAGACCATGCCGCTTCAGCTTGTACAACCAGAGCTGGTCGTTCTTCCGCTCAGGACTATGAGTGTTTACTCAGAGGGCTGTCATTGTGGCTAGAGAGAGGACAGTGGGGGAAACACACATGTGTGATGTTGCAATGGGTATGTTGTGTGTTTTCCCACGAGACCTCTTTGGATTTTAAACAGCAAAACCGCTTTCTCTGCTCCTAGTAAACAGGGAATAGCGTGATCATTTCTAATGAACAGAGTGAAAACTGCTTTCAGACGGGCTCTTCTCTTTAGAAAACCTAATGCTGTGGTGCATTTACGATCGCCTTGTGTTATGCGTGTACTGCGTGTGTGTGGTTACTGAGGTGGTTGGCGGCTACGGCTGGTTGTTTTTTCGCCTGGGCTCTGTAGTGTTAAATGACAGATCGCAGACAGGGTAGGAGGCTGAGATCCAGCCCCCTGGGGCCTCACACTTACAGAACAAACACTGTGTGTGTATGTGTGCGCATGTGTGTGTCAGTGTGTGTCAGTGTGTGTGTGTGTGTGTGTGTGTGTGTGTGATGCAGCAAAAAAGCAGTTGACTCTGGAGCAGAAACAGCCAGCTCAACATCAACATCCTCCCCCTGGGAGGCACGCGGCGACTAGGGGATCAGTATTGGTTTATCCCCACAGCTGCCAATACACACACTTACACACGCTCACACACACACACAATAACTCTCTCTCTCTCACACACACATATACAAACCAACACATGTACACACATATCCAGATACAGATAGACCCTCTCCATTTCAAACAAGTCAGACAAATGCACAAATTTGCACACCAAACACACATGCATGCACGGAGACAGACACACACACACATACCGACTTTGTCTCTCTAAAATAACTACACAGCCATCGCTTGTGGTGGTAATTTGTGAAGAGAGTCAACTGGGTTTGACGTGATTTGTAAGGCAGACTGTGAAATGTGCCCTCTGTCACCCTGCCTATCTCTCTCTCTCTCTCTCTCTCTCTCTCTCGCTCTCTCTCTCACTCACTTTCTATCTGTATCTCTCTCCTGATCCATTCCCTCATCCTCATCCCCTGCACACACATACACACTCTCTACCACACCAAAGAAAACATAGACCCCCATATAAGCTCCCTGCTGGCGCACCCAGTCAGTCGGGTCGGGGCCGAGACTTTAGTGTAGAGTCGACAGCTCTGTTGATCTAGCCAGAGCCTGGTGAAAGGGGTACAGAGAGACGGGAAGTGAAAAGAAAGAAAGAAAGAAAGAAAGAAAGAAAGAAAGAAAGAAAGAACGAACGAAAGAAAGAAAGAACGAACGAAAGAACGAAAGAAAGAAAGAACAGGAAAGAAAAAGAGAGAAAAGATGTGTGTAGACACACAGTACAGACCCTGCTTATCGACTTTACCCCTTCGTGTGATTACCCAGTTGCCCCAGCGCCAAGAGAATCCCCAGTGAATGGAAGCTAATTATCTGCCTCGGCGCATCCTCTTCTCCCTGTTTACGTTCTGCACACGCTAGGAGGTCAGTGGTCCGACCTCAGAGAGCCCCCGGTAATCCTCCAACAGCCCTCCGACACTGATACATCCTTCTTCTCGTCCTCTTCTTTTCCTCCTCTTTTGCACTTTCTCCTTTTGCCTTCTCCTCCTCCTCTCCTCCTTTTCCTGTTCCTCCCACAGTACTTCACTTTGCTCTTCCACATATGCCCACTAAGTCATTTGCGCTCTTCATCCTTTCTCGTCTGACTGTTTTTTTTCTCTTTATCGTTCTTCCTTTCCCTCAAGAAATACAGTATGTGTTTTTTTTCCCAACTCCTTGTACATTTAATTTCCCTCATCCTCATCCAAGACCCCTTACAAAATTCACTGATCCTTTGTGTGTTTCTTTTCCTCCTTCTTTTACCTCTCTCCAAATCCTCCCTGCACTCTCATTTACATAAAAAGTTTTGTTTTTTTTAATTGATTTCCTGCCACTTTCAACTTCCAATTCTCTCCTCAAGTAACTTTTCAGAATCAAATACAAATATGTCTTGAATTTAGAAAATGTGTGTCAGAATCTTTGCTCAGTAAACGTAAAGTCAACTTGAAATAGTGAAATGCAGCTGAAATGTTGGAAGGACATTTTAACATTGCTCTTTACTTTTTGAAGGTAGTATGGTTAAATATGTTGAACCCCTTTTTAACTTGTAATAATCACTATAATTTAAAAAAATTAATAAATGCAACTATCTCCGTCCATTTGTAGCGCTGGATTAGACTACACATTTAATGCACAAACAACACTGTGGCACTGATGCTTTCATCATCAAGAAAGCAAATAAGCCATAAATGTCAGCTACTTTCTTGAGAGTATGTGAACCTCCAGCCTCCAGTTCTACAAAACCATGTTATAATCACAAGCTCCAGTTGGCCGTGATTAACCTCTAGACAATGTTTTAAATTAAATATATCACGTCATAAAAGTTACAAAACTGTGGGGAGCATGCATTAGGGTTCAGATTTGGCTGTTTTCCTCCTTTAGCCATAGCTAGATTGTGAATGTTTATGCATCTTCATTGGCTGCCATCTCTCTCAAGTTAATGCTGGCTAATTTGTCCTTCGATCGACCTGCTGCTCACCTCTTTATGTGACCTCTGCAAACTTTAGCCCCCTTTAACTCCCACACACATATACACACACACACACACACACACACACACACACAGACACATACAGTTAAGCGAGCTAACGCCGAGCAGTAAGTGAGGGGGGATTGTGACACACACCCACAGCCCCCCTCATGACATCCTGGCAGCCATGCAGCAGGCATTCCACTTGTGGGACAGCCCATAGCCTTTAATCCCGGCCTGGCTCCCGCCAAAAGCTCCCCGGACGACAGAACGCCTGCCACAGAGGATGTGCCACCATAAAACACACAGTGCCCCTCCGACCGCGCACACACACACACACACACACACACACCTCCCCTTACCCTCATTGCCCCTCTGCTCTCTCATTTGATCTCTGTCTGTCTGTTTGCTAATCTCACCTTGTTCCTCAGTTCATTTAATACTCTCTCTGGATTCTTATTCATCCTCCGCTGCTCTCATTTCTCTTTCACTAGCATACTCACTTGCTCATTGTGCCAGAACACACACACAAACACATGCACACATACACAGTGTGTGGTGGCCCATTCACTAAAGCCCCTCTCTGTGCTGTCAGTGCAGTTGAGTCCTGTCCTTTGTGAATGTGCTGCAACAGATTTCTAGAAGTTACATTACAGCTACGGACAATTCAGCAGGTCTACGCTGGTGGCTGTGTTTACACTACCCGGGCAGGGATTTCAGAGGAATAACACAGGATGAAAAGGATAACAGATTTCTGCATACATTCCTGCTCATTAACTGCAGGAAACTCGTACTGATGACAAATATCAAATGTGTACTGGATGTGGCACTAATTGTATGTACAATTTGAGAGTATTTACGGACAAGGCTTTTATTGGTTCCAGATTTTCTATAATTTGACACAAATGTCTGTTTTTTATACAGCTTTGGTCATAATAAAGCTTTTAAAGCATATCCAGTCTTTGGCATGGAATCTGGAGTGGAGCATGATGTCTATAGAGCAGCAGATGCACCTCATATAACAAGAGTGACAGGTTGAGGAGTGACCTCAGAGATTTACAACTGCTCTTTTACAATACACCTTTCTTTGATATTTCTGTGCTCGCTTTTATGAGCCATAGAGAGTGCTCAAGAACTTGGTGTTAAATGTTTCTGTTGCTTCACAAAGGTTGCAGTTACTGAAGCAACATTAAAGAAATTATATGACCCTATTTCGCTAAGAATAAGATGAAAAACTTGTCATGTCTGTCAATTATGTGTTGAGCCAGAGCCAAGAGACTGTTGGCTTGGCTGAGTACAAAACTGTAAACAGTTGGTATCAGCTTACCTGACTCATTTAAGTCTTTAAAAATCCGTCGACCAGAGCCTGTAAAATTCACAAAGTAATACAATTTATCTTGGGTGTTTAATTCTGAAACAAACAGAAACAAAAATGTGGGTTTTACAAGGAGTTACTCATCGGTTTCCAGCAGAGACCCCAGTAAATCACTGCATCTGACCACTGATTGATGAGGAATAGTTACAAGATCCAGACAGATACTGGACTGCTGGGGCCAATTCCAATTTTAGGAAGTAAGAAAATTCTGATGTCCTATATATTGAAGAGGGAAAAAATGAAACAGTCATTGTTTACTAATTTTCCAGCAATGTATTTTACAAACCAGTTAGCAACTTACTATGAGCACAAAGCTTGACTCTGCACCATCATCTGCTCATCTGTGGTGTGTGCTCCGCTACACGTGCTGCAGACAGTGCCAACAGTACTGTGAACAATGCAGTCAGAGCTGTTCTTCTGGACAAACTACGTGATGACACTGTTTCCAAATTAGCCTAATCATCTTCTTTCTGTACTATGTTCTGTGAGGAAGGTTTTCATGACAGAAAATATTGTATCTTTGATGGGACAGTATTGGGGGATAATGTCGGCCAACCAACATATCAGTCAGGGTCTAACAGTCTAATAATTATAAATAGCTGGGCTAGTTTCCAGTTATTATGCGAAACTAAGCTAAAAGCCCAGTGCACTTGCTCAGTCCTGATTAGACAGACTCAATAAAGCTATTTCACCGTGAGTACAAGTTCTACATTATACCATTACTGTAAGATTTCCACGTCTTGTTCCCAAAGCCAACCGCTCATTCGCCTCAAGTCTCCTAGTCTTGATGATATTATTCATGAAACCTGACTATTGGGAATGTGTTAAATGTCTATTGAAAATGTTCCAAAACCTCTAAAGGTGTCTCGTTTGGGGAACCATTATACACATGTCAACACACAGTTTACAGAAAGCCCATCAGACACTGTTCCAACTAACCAAATGCAGGTTGGTTTGATAAACACTACCCTAATCATCTCAACACCGGGACGGATTAGGTTTCTCCTCTGCCTGGACAAAGGCACTGGGGCTACAGTATGACTAATCCACTGAACTTGTAAATAGTTATGGTGTCAGGACAGAGAAAACAATGAGAGCGAAGGGGACTTCCTGTGTTTATAGAGGACGGGGGGCATACCCCGAATGAGTCAGTGCACCAGATTACTCCATCCATCCATCCATCCATGAAACCACCTCTCTTCACTATCACTGATTTGACTCTTTCGTCCAAACTTTTCACTACCTTGCACTTAAACCACACGAACCCTGTGGTGTTCATGTTTTCTATCTCCTGTCATCTCGTGCGGTATTTCTAAAGGAAGATTACACACAGCAGGCAGGGGACGCTTCATACCAGTAGGCCCGAAGCGTGTGGGTCAGGCATGATCCAGCCGGAGACCTGCCTTGATTAATGAACAGACGATGAGCGTAGGGGGGCAAATGTGAAGCGGACAGTAGAGACAGAGATCTCTTTCTCTCTCTCAGTTTATCTCTCCCTGTGTCTGTGCCTACTGCCTACTTCAGCAGTTTCACAATCCCCAACCGGCCAGCCAACAGCCGAGCAGGCCGTGCTGCTCCGTTCCACTCACACATGAGCGGCAGCAGTACAACAACAGGAAAGGGCCTCCTCTGCTTTCACTTGCAGGTCCTGTCTCCAGCCTCCCTGAGGGTGGATCTTGTTATTATCATTAATAACTGTGGCCCGAGCAGAGATAAACCTTCAGCATTCCAAAACTCTTGGTTTTGTTTATGAGATGGTGTTGCAAGAACAGATAAATTGGGAGTTTATTTAAAGGCTTTCTATTTTGGACAAAGGTCTGCTCATCATAGGGAGACGACTGCAACAGCTGTCAGACGGACAGTGCAGCTGTAGTGTGTGATCAAAGGCTGGCATCTAGTGGTGCAAATCCTGCACTGCACTCAATAAGGAAAATTGCACCCGGTTGGTTTTTTGTTAGATGCAGCTGCTGCATTATTTAAAAGACTTAGCATTTTCCTGTGGCTTAATAAAATGCAACAACAGCTTACTGGGGTGGGTTGAATAAAACTGCCAAAGGAAGAGAGTTGCTCTTTAAGAAATAAGTCTAACATCTAATAATCTAATAATCAACAATTTCCCTGAGGTTTGCACCAAAGGGATCAATAAAGTTCTATTCTATTCTATTCTATTCTATTCTATTCTATTCTAATAATATCCTTAACGTTTCCTAGTTGTTGTTTCTTTCAATGGGGGAACTATTATACTGCATGTTATCTGACTAGACTGGCATCTTTCATTGCAAATAACACAAAAGAGTTGATATTTTTTAATTTAAAAACAATTGCACATTTACTGTGGCTACATTAATTGCACTTTAGACTAAATATTCCTTTTATTCAACATTCTCTCTTACAAATAGTGACTTGCAACAGTATAAAAATGTTCTAATATTTGTGCAAACTACGTTTTTTATTAACCAAGTACAACCTTTCTAAAACTGGTGCAGAACTTCATCAGCTCACCCACATTACTGATCTTTCATTTTTTTCATTCTCTGATTTTCCAGGAGGACGGAGGAAGAATAAGCGAGGAGAGCGGAGGAACCGCAACAACCGCAAAGACAAGGAGAACCAGGAGGGGCGACGCGAGAGGAAGAGGGAAAGGGAGCGAGAGAGGGAGAGAGACACGGGCGAACGTGAAGACTCGGATAACAGGAACAAAACAGAGCACAGGCACCGCAGAGGCCACGACACAGAGCCGGTCTCCCCTCAAGACGGCCTTGTACAGTAGTCCTCAGGACAGACAAAGTCAACTGGCTCCCCACCATCCTCCTGTTATCTCCCCACCCTACCTGCTCCAAAATCCCCCTCACCCTCACCCACTGTTTGCCCCCTACAACCCCTCTCTGCAGGGGTGTTGCTGCTACCTGTATGATTTGAATATACTGTTTATGCACAAGCGGGATGGGGCACATTCAGCCACAAGGCATGGGCCACTAATGACTTTTAAAAGTCTTTTTTTCTACCCCGTAGTCTCAACTCCTTCACTTCCACCACCGAGAGTGTCTCCGCTGTAAAATGCAGGACACTGCTGAGACTGCTGCTGGGACTGAAGAACAGCGAGAATCGTCTGTAACTGTGTGGAGGACTGTCAGACAGACGGACAGAGAGACAAAGACATCATGTGCTTGTTGATATGGTTATTTAATGGGGCTCTGGTACAACATTGCGCATCTTGGTTTTTGAATGTAGATTTTGCAGCATTATGTAGAACAGTTGTTTATTATTGTTGTTCCTGTTCTTTAGATCTCCTTATTTGGTGCAGAATTTGTAAAGAAAAAAAATACAAATGAGTTTTTGCTCTTGTCACATTTTCACAATCGCTAAAACATACAGATGTAGGGGGACCTGCATGCTGTGAGTTAAATGAGTATGGTCAAAAACTGAAAACATGTTCTGTAAGTCTTGGACAGAAGCTAATTTTATTCAAATAAGTGATCAATCTAATCTACCACTGGTTTTTCTTTTGTGTAAATGGATTCTGTGCTCTCAGTAAAGCTCCTCCACTAGGAACCAACAACACCTGTATGTCAAATAAAACTATAATGGGTTTGTACTTGTGTCTGTTATGTTTTTGTTTTTGATCTGCCCTCCATTTTGTCTAATCCGATTGAATAAACCTTTGCACAAAGCAAATGGAAAGTGAAACTCAGCGCAGTTTGCAGCCATTATCTGTTGATTCAAAGGCTGCTAAGCTCTCACTTTTGTTGCGGTAGCAGAAAGTTACTTATACCTGAACACTTCATACTTGTGCACCGTTAAGAAATCTCTATCACTTTTTCTGTTACTCAATTATTATCTCTCAGCAGCCTTCTGCCCTGTACTGATTGTGGATCTTTAAACATGTAGTATAAATAAATCTAGCTATCAGCAGTCAATATAAAAGTCCAAAGCTCAATAGTTATTGCAGGAACAAGTATGCTTTAATGTTACTGCAGAAAAGAAATCTAACAACTACTATCACAGCTCAAACTTCACAGAAAGATGTACATTTTCCAGCTGAATTAATTCAAGTGTGTGATTAACTGAAACCAATAAATATCACATCTACATTTTTCAATCATCCATAAGCTATTTTATGGCATAAAATAAGTAAGTACACAAAGTATGAGCACTTACATTTATCTGGATTAAACCTGTTCAGTTTCATGAAAATCATCTTAACATTTAGTCAACCTTCCAGTAAACTAATAAAACAAATTGTTGTTTTTCCTGTTTAACACAAACACGAAATAAAAGGAAACATTTTAAAGCTAAAGTGTTTATTGATGGTGTGAATATTTTTTCTCATGAGCAACATCTACTGCATTTGCATCAACAGGCATGATGACAGTATTTCCTCCTCGTTCATTTAGCAGAGAAATCCCCACTAACAGACTGTACATGAAAATATATGCAATTTGACATCTTGAAAATATAGATAAGTCACAGTACAGTATGTACACAAATCATGGGTGCAAGATAAAGGCATGTTTGAAAATGTATGGGAAATAACTCGTCAAAAATAGGATCAAGGTCAAAATCTGGATTTCTGAATCAAGTTGATCCTACTGCAAAAACAAAAATGTAAGAGGAAACACTGTGACAGATCTTGAATTACCCAGATGCCTTTTAAGACCAAACAAATCATCAAATCACAGCTCTAGTTTGTTTATGACTAGCTCAGTGCCTGCTGTTCACTTCATCTTAGCCACAAAATCCTCGCCCTTCTTGATGGAAGCCTTCAGCTCATCCACAGCATCAGCAACCAGCTTCTCCTCAAAGGCAGAAATCTTGCCCAGACCAAGGTTCTTCTCGATGCCGTTCTTCCCCAGCAGCAGAGGCGTGGAGAAGTACTTGCACCCCGTCTCCTCTGACCTGACATAGGCGCACTCCACCACACCCTCCTTTCCATTCATGGCATCCAGGACGGAGAAGGTGAAGCGGGCACCAGCATAGGCCATGGAGAGGGTGGCAGATCCGGCTCCGGCCTTGGCCTTTACCACCTCTGTGCCAGCTTCTTGGATCCTGCCGGTCAGGGCAGACAGCTGGTCAGCAGGGAACTCTACCTTTGGTGTGCACTGGGAAATGAGGGGAATGATGGTCTTCCCGGCATGACCTCCAATGACTGGAACATTGACACGAGCTGGGTCAAGGCCTTTAAGCTCTGCCACAAAGGCGTTAGCTCTGACAATGTCCAAGGTTGTGACACCAAACACTCTGTTGGGGTTGTACACTCCGTGCTTCTTCATGATCTCGGATGTAATAGGGATGGTGGAGTTAACAGGGTTGGCGATAATGCAAATCATAGCCTCAGGGCAGTTGCGGGCGCAGGCATCGGCCAAGGTGGCTACGATGGTGGCGTTTGTGTTGAAGAGGTCGTCACGCGTCATGCCGGGTTTTCTGGGCACGCCGGCCGGGATCACTACGACCTCGCAGCCCTGCAGAGCAGCATCGAGCTGGTCGGGGCCCATGTGCCCGGTTACCTGGGCCCTGGTCTCAATGTGGCTCAGGTCTGCAGCCACCCCGGGTGTGTGGGCGATATCATAGAGGGAGAGGTGGCTCACCAGGGGGCTGTTCTTCAGTAGCAGAGATAGCGGCTGGCCTATGCCGCCTGAAGCCCCGAGCACCGCCACCTTCGCGTTGTTCTGCGACGAAGTAGACAAGCTCCGGGCGAGGCTAACTGTAGGTCTCACGGCACGGGAAAACATCTTCTTTCTGTTGTTGTTTTTCTTGATTTAGTGGGAAAAAAAGTACCTCGGGAGCCCCTCTCCTCTGTGACACGAACGTCCTCTAGCCACGAGCGAACAGGAAGACTATCAAACTGTCATGCGTAGAAGATAAAGGTCGTGCGATCTTACGTCAAAGTGCGTCATTACGCACTGTTACGTCGTCGTCTTTATCTCAGCTTCTTTTTCGGAGGAAAACAAAGCCAGTTAACATTGGAAGTCGGTAAATTTGCATCGGATATCAGGGCCGCCGTTCGAATTGTAACAATAAACGTCATCACCAGAGCCATATCTAGCGGTACGGTACGTGTGCAGTCGTTGCGTTGTTTGTGTCGTGAGAAAATGCTTCTCTTTGCTGTTTATGTCGCTCTGCTAAAATAAGCTAGCGCCGTCAAATGAACTCCGTCTATTTGCTGGAGTCAGAGTGCTGCCCTCAGCTTAGCAGCGTTAGCTAACTACAACAGGTTTCATTGTTATGAAGGCTGTGCCAGTCGAGAAATGCCCCTGAAACGTTGTAGTTTGACTCGAGTTTGTACATATAACGGAAACAGCAAATGCTCTGCTTTTGAGTAGCTGTTATGTATTTGACGTTAGCTAAGCAAGTTTTCCTATAGACTGTCACCGTTCACTGTATTAACGTTACACCGTTAGCTCATGGTTTTACTTGAATAAGGTTAGCTGTGTTCTTCATTAGCTCTATCAAAGAGACACCAGGGTTAAGTTAGCACAAACTTGGAACAGCTGACACGGCTCCCTGAATGTTGTGAGACATAACAGAGCAGCCCTTTGTTCCACAAACAGTAACCGCTTACATTTTAGACATAACTAAGGAATTAACGCTAACTTATAACTAATCTGTTATAACGACAGACTTAAACTTGTTTGCCACATAAGGCTTGGTTGTCAGATAAGTGCACAATGGGAATAGCTTCATATTATACTTCATGTCTGTATTTATTTTTAGACTAGTCCGAAAGAAAATGCATTTTCACCGTCTGCTCTTTTTCTTTTAGCAGTGGCAAGTTTGAAGATCAAACAGCTCTCCTAATGATACACCAGCATTAAGACTACTTCAAGTAAGTATTTACGTTTAATTTTTAGTCTGTTATATATTTATCTGTACTTCATTACAAAATAAATGTCCTGTCAAAAGTTCTGTTCATTTATCTAAAAAAATAAGAGCCTCAAAAAAATATTCACAACGATACTAATAATTTGTACACAGTACAGTTTTTCAAAATTGAGCACTTGTCCATCATAACCAACTGTTTACAAATGTCTCTTTTTCTTCAGTACTTCTTAAGGATGGCTAGTTGTGGAGAGGTCGACCACTCTGTTGGCTCCCTTCCATCCAGTAAGAAAGGCAGTAATAGTGGCGGTGGAAGTGGGAACAGTGCAGAATCGTCATGCTCAGGCTCCAGCAATTCATCCCCAGCCCTGTCTGTACCAGAGTGTGCCATCTGTCTGCAGAGCTGTGTCCACCCAGTCCAACTGCCATGCCATCACGTCTTCTGTTTCCTGTGTGTGAAGGGAGCCTCCTGGCAGAGCAAACGCTGTGCTCTATGCAGACAGGAAGTACCTGATGACTTCCTGGAAAGGCCTACGCTTCTCTCTCCGGAGGAGCTGAAAGCATCGGCGGGAGGTCGGGGCGGGGCGACAAGTGATCATGCTTGGTATTACGAGGGCCGTAATGGTTGGTGGCAATACGATGAGCGAACCAGCCGCGAGCTAGAGGACGCTTTCTCCAAGGGCAAGAAGACAGCTGAAATGCTGATTGCTGGTTTTTTGTATGTAGCTGACTTGGAGAACATGGTGCAGTATAGGCGCAATGAGCATGGTCGTAGACGCAAGATGAAGAGGGACATTTTGGATATTCCTAAAAAGGGAGTGGCAGGACTGCGATTGGACACTGAGGGAGTTACCGGGGCCATGGGGGCAGCAAGCCGAGAAAACTCTGCTGATGGGGCTGATACCACAGTAGCAGGTGTACAGCAACAGGTTACAGGTATCTCCTCTACGGTTACAGCCCCTTCAGCTAGTGCTAGGCCTCCCATTTCCCTCGGAGGTCAGCCTGGCCCCAGCACTAGCCCCTCTCTGGAGGATGCCCTCTCTCAGTTGCAAATCAGCCCCAGGCCTACACCTTCTAATGAGCGGTCTGAGGCAGGAGAAGGCGAGGAAGAAGATGAGGAGGAGGAGGCCTCACCCTCCAGGTCCTCTGACCCTCACACCTCTGTGGATGAGTCTGGCTCTGGTGACTGGAGTGATGATGAGGAGGAAGAGGATGAAGAAGAGGAAGGGGGAGATGGAGAGCGCGTTGAGCCCTGGGAGGACAGGCCACGCAGACAGAGACTGAATCCAGAGAACAGAGCCCCTCCTCGTGCAGAGTCTGCCTCTCCCCCTTCCTCATCCAGTAGCAGCGGAAGGTCCAGAATGCCTGATGGCCAGTGTACAGTGACTGAAGTGTGAAGTAATCATTAATACCATCATCACCAAATGGCCATGTTCCATTCCATTAATTTATTCCTCACTTTATGCTGTTCACTCAGTCGCAGATCGGATGTGGGTGGATTGCTTAGTTCAGGAGAAATGAGGCACCACACATTCAGTAACAAACATAGCCATTTTCCTCCGTTTTTGGTACCTCTTCCTTTGGTTCACAGTGATCTGAATGTATCTGTATGATCTATTTGTAAGCTTCATCCTAGATATAGCCAGTCAGCAGAAGTTTACTTTGATTTTATAGTACTGGGAGAGCAGGAACAGCTTGGTAAACAGTCAAATGGATACCCAATGCTGTTGTAAACCATTAAACTCAGAATTTTCTATCCAGCATGTCAGAGAGATGTAACAGAGATATTGTGATGTTGAGCTGTCATCACTCAACACTTGTAGTTGCAGGTGTACTGAGTCTGTTCTTTCAAATTCCAGAAAAGTAGAAGTTAAGGTAAGCATGACTTGCCAACCTGCTTCTGCCAGACCGAGCTATTCTTCTGTTTACTTTTCCTACCTAATACGGCTTATGGAAGTCCCAGTCAGATTTGTGACGTGCAGTGAAATAAGGCATAATGAGGATGTTACTCCTGGAAATGGAACTGAGTCATTATTATGAACGGCTGCATTCTAACCATCTACAATTTAACTCTCTCAGCTAACATAGCGCACAGAAATGCCCTTGTTAGAGCTCAAATCATATGACTGCTCTTGCAAAGCACTTAATCCTTGATAACATGTTCCCAACCTCCACACTGCCTATATGATTTCTTTCAGATCTATCTGAAGCCTTTCCTTCCAAATTCTCAAATGTAACTGTTAACTTTTAGGAACTGTGTGATTTCAGAGCTGATTGTGGCGTAAAGAAAATCTTCAAATTGTTTGTCCAGGTGATGAAAGTAAATGGAGAAGTACATCAGTACTTAAGTTATGTGGGTATTTAAAGTTCACACTTAATAAGAATAGAAATTTAATTCAGGAGCCCACAGGATATCTGGCGGCCTGAGTGGGTTTTTGTCTTTGATTTGATTTCAAGTAACCTGCAGTTTTCTAAAACTAAATTCTGTACGAATCTTGTTTTAAATCAACGTGCATAGTAGAAGTACATATCAGATGTATCCTCACTTTTCCCAGCTTTAAAGAATTGGCATTTTAATGCAAAATATCAATGTTCTGATTTTAAAGCTGTTGAGGCCTCGATAGCCTCATTAATAATCTTATTGTCCCTGACTGAAGTATTTTCAATTGGTGTTTATCTAAAGTTTAGTGATTTGTGCGTGTTTGAAGAGAGAGTTATTTAAACACTACTGGTTGGCAGGATGTTGACAATTGATGTTTTTTGGATTCAGTTCGAGTCAATGTTTTTATTTTGTGTTTGTGCATTTCTTATGGTTGTAAAATCTCTTATGTATGATGTCTGAGGGAGTAAGAGAACAAGAACATGCCATTGCTATTGGCCACCCTGCAGAAATTTCAGGTTATGTTATTTTTATATTTCTTACATGCTTACATCATCGGCTCAGTTTTAGACTTTCCTGAAGTTTGTGTAACCGTTTTTTGCTTGGAAGCTTTTTTTTGTTATATGGTTTGTAATTTAAGAATAAACTGTGTCATTTCATCATCCTAAAGGGATATTTCTGGGTTTGTCTCTAAATATTTGGGTGGTTTTTGGGTTCTCATTTTACTCTGTCTAGCTCCAAAGTCAGCTGGGATCAGCTCCAGCTGCCCAAGACCCTCTACATGATAAAGGGGGTAAAGTTGATAGATGGATGGGTTTTACTGTGTAATACAGTGCATGTGAGTTCTTAGAAAATATTTCTTGTGCGTTATATAAGCATGGCTACCAATGGGCCAGTTTTTAAGTAAGATTCCACCTCGTTTATCCACATCACAAAGTGTTTGACGTCCCTTCTTTCACCTTGTAGCTATTTGGTATTCTGACCACGGCAGGTATTAACGCTCCAGCTGAGTGTCTGGCCAGGAAACATGACCTCTGGAAGGGGAACAGGAGATGAAGGCCAGGCGTCCTCCAGGGACATGTTCTGTTCTTGCCATTTCAGTCTGTGCACATTTGTGCTTTTGTAATGCCTCATTTGCTGTATGGAATAGGCTATGAAAAATGAGCTACAAACTAGTGTCACAGCTTAAAAACAATATTCACTATGTACATATTAGCCATTTAAACTGACCCAGTGCTTCAGCATGCTTCAAGGTTCCTGATGCAGATAAAAGAGCGATTGAGCAAAGTAGTGGAGATCAGTCTGAATTCAGCTCTTTTAGCAAAGAATCTGCCACTACAATAGAAATAGAGAGGATTATCAAGGCCACACTGGCATCATGAGCACTTAGGAAAGTTTAGCTGAACTAGCTTACAAAGACAAGTAAAACAGCAAAGATGTGCAGCAGCATCTCTCTCAATCCTGCAGACAGATGCTGCTTGTTATATCTCATCAGTGTCTGTCTGCTTTGGTTAGACTCAGCCTGAAATGATCTAATCATTACCATAATCACATTGTCAGGAGACCTGGAGGAAAGACAGTTTTCATTTGTTTAAAGGGACAGAAGGGATTTAGAAGAATGTAAAATCATAATACCCTGAGATCACACAGCATCTTCACTTTTACTGATATTTTATTAAAGAGATAAAAGAAGTCCTCACATACTGTGTCTGTTTACACACTGCAACACAGATGATGTCATTTTTGTGAACTATTTTACTGCAGTTTGTTTGCAATACAAAACCCAAAAAGAACATTAGTGTCATTGTTAATATGTGTATTTACATCTTTTCTCCCATACTTGTCTAGAGTATGTGTAACATCACACAAAAAATACATATTTGAAAATAAGTGATCTCACATTATCAGTGTATTCGAGGCAATGAAGCAGCTTCAATGAATTCACTGAAACTATAACATTGACATAACTGCATTTAGAACACAGCACTTTGCTTAACAGATGAAAGTATAAATGTTTCAGTCCACCAAAGTCAGGTCAGTACGGTAAAACTAGAGTCAGTCTCTCCCCACATGTACTGTAATAGTTCTCGTGTGTGGCATCTTACAGGCAATTTTGACCAGGATGGGGCATTTAAAATGTCTCCCCTGGTCTTTGATCGTCTGAGGGGCTCTTAGGATACTGAAGAGACATCTATACCAGGTCATTTGTGTTTGGGCTTGCTGGCCAGCGCCTGCAGGTTAGCCGGACCACCCCACACTGTCCCAAACACATCCTTCTCAGTCCTCAGGGCCTCTGACAGAGGGAGCTCTCTTCCTGACAACACTACCTTCTTCACAGCCTGGATCACCGGAGCAGGTCCTTTTGTGTATCGACTAAGCCAGTTTTCAGCCTGCTGTCGGAGAGTGCCCACACCTTCTCCTTCCTGCTGGGCATCGAGGACTCCATCTGACAGTCCAATGTGCAGGCCAAGTTCAGGGTCCACTTTTACGGCACCGCCCAGCAGCTTCAGTGCATTCTGACTCCCGACAATGCGGACAAGCCGTGCGGCGCCACCCCAGCCTGGGACCAGACCCATGTGTTTATGGACAAACTGGACCACACTGCCTGATGCCATTACTCTATGAGAAAGGTACGGCAGGCACATGCTAGTTTACTAGTTTCTGGACAGAACGCTGTGATGTAACAAAGATCCTCACGAGTTTTCTTGTATTCACTCATGTAAAAACATTACCTGAAATCACAGGCAGTGGTGAGTTCTGCGCCTCCTCCCAAAGCTCTCCCCTCCACCAGAGCAACAGAGATGAGAGGCAGCCTGCACTGAGAAAACTTGTCTGTCAGCATACTGTGGTGCACATTATATAACGTCTAAGCTCCTTTACACTGATACTGGATACTGCTGTTGGTGTAGTTTTCAAAAACAGAAAGGAAAATGAGAACTCTTACCTGAGCAGCCTCGTAAGAGCATTTTGCATGAACATACACATCTTCATTCCATCCTGCAAGGCAAGACAAGCATCGTTTTGACATCTTTGGTAGAAGAAGTCTATGAATTATAAACCTTATTTCATTTCACTATTTGCACATCCTCCATGTCTTTCCTTGACTCCTCTACTTGTGTAGTTAAGTTTAAAGGGACCTCAATTAAATATGACATGCGGTAAACCTGCATCACCTGCCCTCTGTTTGACAGCTTGATTTAAATATAACCTACCACTGTATTCTATAATCTCCATCGTATGAGCAGAACAGTATTCATGATAATATATAGTATACATTTTACTTCTAATTCAAGTCATAACACGGCAGACTATGACAAGAATGTCATACATTATTATTATTCATTTAACACACGTGCAGTGTGAAGTATAAAATAGTTGTGGCACATGAAATAGTACTAGACAAATAAAGCATGTAATATGCTAATATTGAATATCATTTGCACACATTTGTCAGTCCTGCTGCTAACATGGTTTGTGTATTTCAGTTGTGTGTTGCCTCTTTTATGCAACAGTGCGGAAGAGAGTTCGAGGACACAGCAAGGATATGCTACTTAAATTAATGAAATGAGATGAGCCCAGAGTCAAGCAGAGAGAAAGGTAGAGAGATGCAGTTTCTCAGCTTGGCTACCTGTGGGTTGGATATTGCTCGAACAGCGTTGAGGTCCGATCCAGAGCAGAAAGTTTCAGCAGCACCACAAACAATAAGTCCTTTGCCGTATGTCCAGTTCTCCAGCTGGGTTACCTTCTCCTCTAGATCCACCATCATGCTGCCTGGCAGGAAAGAAAACCTCCGATGAACTGAATCCAATGTGATTTACATTTGTGTAATGATTATGTGCAATTGAGTTTTTATCTCAATCAGCATGACAAATCTGCAGTAGTCAGTCTGAAAATACACTGAGTTAAATGTACAGTCATCTTACCGGAGAAAGCATTCATGCGAGAGGGGTTGTTTATGGTCAGCACAGCTATGCCAGAGTCCTGTTTAAGCAGATCAATGGAGCCTCCAGGAAAAGCCTGCAGCTTCTCTCTGATCTCCTGGTGGTTGAAGCCATCGCTGCTGGAGTAAACACATCCACTGCTCTGTCTCTGCAGCAGCCTTGGAGGAACACCATTTATAGAGCATTTGAATGTCCTTTGTCTTTGTTTATATGATCAGATGTGTGATTTGAAGTGAAATGACACATCATATGAACTAAATGTGCACACAGTTGCAGTCAAGATTATTCAGACTTGCTTAGGTTTATGAGAGGTTTTAAGTCAGAATGATCAATTCCTCTTCTAATGTTGCTGTTTTAGTCAACTACTTGTTTGCAAGGCTTCCAGATTTACCACCATATGAGAGGAATTTACTTCATTACCACAAAAAAGCAAAAAAATAAATAAAGTTGACAGCATCATTCATTCGTTATGCTCGCAATGCATTTTTTAGAGGCGTTCTGGAGAACTTGGTCATCTCAGTCATAAAATTGAGTCCCTTTGTAAACCTTTGGTGGGTGTAAAAAAAAAAGCAGCAGCAGCACAGAAACCCACGAATATCTGTGAGTAATGCAGGTATCAGAAGCTTTTAAAAACTACCAGAAACATCTAAAGGTCAAAAGATGCTCAACAAAATATTGTCTTTAGGGCTGAATGATTTTGATATTCGAACTGTATTTATTGTGACCAGATTTTAGTTGATATGGTTTCATTCAATTCTATCTGCATGACGAGTAAGTCTTGCAGGTTAAAGGAGTTGAAATATATTGATTCCAACTGTGTGTGTAATTGTAGCATTAAAAAAAATGATATGGATAACTCCTTAATAGATCCTTGTGTTGCTCAAGACTGGAAAGAATGCTTGCGCTCACACACAGGAGGAGGATGAATGCTTTTAATACTCTCCATTTCCTCTGTGAATCAGCCTGAAGGATTCATGGTACTGCTCCACACACACACATATAAAAATACATCATCTCTGATCGTGACTCATTGCAGTCATGAGTCAGAATTTGAAATGCATTGTTTTTGATTTGTGAACAAACAACGTGGGTTCAGCTCGGTAGACTTGATGTTCGTTTACTTACGACTTTATTTACTATGCCATTGTGGTGATTAACAATGCTGGCTAGACTCCATTACCTGGTCCAGGGTCCACAGCGGCTGCTGCTCTTCAGGAGCTGTCGCCTCAATGCACAGACGACCATCGTGCTGCTGCATGAAGATGGAGAAAATACTCAGATTTACTTTGATTGAAAGAAATCACCTCTGAAACATTGCTTTATAAAGAAAAACAGTGGGATCATTCAGTGAAAATCAAATTTGAGGACCAGCAACAAGATATTCTTTTGCCTAAATAAGAGCAGCAGCTGTTGTTTCTTTAGCATGTGGCACAATTAAATTACAGTTCACTGTCCCAAGGAAAGGCTCTAACTCTAATGGTGTTTACTCAGTGGTGTGATGAGCCTTTTTCCAAAAAGACAAATACATTCCAATTTGTCCTAGGTTCTGGTGTTGTTTGGTCTGATTTGGTCTGGTCTGAACACCCTTGTGGCTTAATAACATCAACATTTACAGTGACTTAAGAGTCGAGGGGCTCTTGAACATATTCCTCAACAAGGACATTAAACTGCAGATATTATAGTTTTATAAGCGTAAAGACTTTGATACTTTGGATGTTGATATTTCATTGGCAACAGCACTACAATATGCTGCTTAGGTCTTAAAATGGGTTGTCAGTAATATTTAGCCAGCCTACTGTTTCTATAAATTATTTTTAATGGGAAAAAATATATATAGCATCCATGTCTTTATACTTACCTGTTTGAAGAGAGTGTAACACAGCTGCAGACTACTTACATAAAGCAATACATTACTTTACACACTTTGTTTTGAAGTAAACTGCTGAATATTTGGAAACTGAATGCCGTAAATGCGTAGTTTAATGGTCCCTTTTTGACTTTTTCACTTCCACACACAACAAGCAGCAGAGGAAACGATATATTTCGCAAAATATTTGAACATGTCTCTGTAATAGCTACAAAACATTCAACAACTAAAATGTTAGCACCAACCTTGCTAAACCTTGCCGCGCGGTGTTACTCTAAAATACGTCCCCCTAGAAACGAGAAACCTGCGGGAACAGTGACATGGCAACACACGAATGTAGTTCCTCACTTCCCCCGCCGAGGGGCGAAGTGATACCTACAATTTGTGCACTATCACCTAGATATCCGAAAGATATGCAGCGCAAATTGTGTAATTCTGGTACAAGGCCACGTACACGTTGCACAACTTACAAGCAATAATAATTTATTGTGGAGTATAAACTGTAATATCGTTCATCAGAGGCCTATTCACTGCACGGCGGGTTCTGTTCTATGTCATTTACTGCTCTGTAAACAGAGTACTGAGGAAGTGACTCTGAAGACATGTCCTTATTCAGTAGTACTGACAAAGGGCTTTAAATAACACATACAAGTTTTATTACAGTGTTGGCACAAGCAGCTGACATTTAGATTACCGTGGTCTATTGTCAACTGAAGTCTTCTTGATGGTAAAACTTCATAATAAGACCTTGTCTTTGAGTTAATCCTTAAAATGCCTTTGCTGGACTGAATATAAAAGGTGATTTCACTGCGGATTTTTCCAAGTCTAACAACAGTCATTTGTGATTTAGTTCTAGGCCAAGCAACCAAAACTGTACATCTGAATTACAGTGATAAACATAATAGGTGTTTTTGAAAATATTGAGGTTAAGATGAGCTTTCACCTGAAATGGAATATTAATATAGAGCATCAATAGAGTTACCAATGTAAGGCATTAAAACATTACATTTGTTATTGGGTTTTCCTTTTAGGCACCTTTTAAATGATACGTAGACAGCGTTGGCTTTGTCTGAGAGATTGTCTTCTCCAACTCCTTCCAGAAACATGTAATATCATACTAAGAGGTGACACCTTTCTGAGGGGCAGTAAAAAGTGCGAAATGCTCTGGGATCAAAGTACTGTGCAAACACAGACAGACGTAAACTTCTGCTGACCTGAAGGCACATCTTTAAAACTGTTCAGTACCCGTTATTTTAACAGTTACTTTGAAAACCAACGGATCGGTGTAAATACTGAAGTTTGTAAGTTTGCCAAATGGGAGATACAGAAGATGTGATGAGTAGAGGGTGAGAGTTAGAAATGAGAACGTTTAGGCAGTGAAACAAACAAGAATGAGAGGATGATATAAATATCAAGAGACAGAGCAGGAAAAAGGACGCAAATTGTGCCAATAACAGAGGGAGGCTGAGACACGTCCTGTCCTGTGGTCTGATCTGTGGCTACCGAGAGCATAAATCCGTCACTTCTATCCACACATCCTCCACCGCTGTTCACAGCCTTGTCTGTAAAAAAAACAAAAATAGAGGAACCAAAAATACTTTTCTGTTGCACTTGGATCACTGAGGATTCCAGAGACAAGTTGAATCAAAGGCTTAAAGCAAACTTCAGTCACAGGAGTGTACAAGTATGTGTACATGTTATCTGAGGAAGACAAAATACTGTCGTATTCACATACCAGTAGTCAGCACTGATTTTACACATCTTTATCACTTTGAATGCATATTGTTTTACCTTCACATTCCAGGGAATTTCGCATGCTAAATGTTTTTTGGTAGATTAAGACTCAGTGGCATCATTGCATTAGATATGTGACGCAAATAAAACAAAACAATCAAGTGTATTTTCCCTAACTGGATGGTTTTGTGCAGCCAAACTCCTCCATGACTGTGGTGCAAACTTAAAAGGTCATCAACAAGGATACACTGCTTTGAATCCAAGACTGCAGTAGAGTCAACTCTGTTTTAAAAGTCCACACCTCTCTGGTCTATTTAAAAGAGGGGAAGGAATTCAAAAAGGTTGGTGGGACTCTTCCCAGGCAGGCATTCCAGACACGCTGACTCTCTTTCTTGCTCTGTACAGTACATTCAGCTCAGTCAGCTAGCCTGCAACCTTTCCATAAATATCATTCTGTGAAGTACAGCACCTGGAGGACACGGTGGCTTTAAGGAATTTGCGTGCATAGTGGTCTCTAAATCACTCAGAAGTGAGTGTAAGTGATTGATAGGTGTGTGTGATTGACTGGCAGCCTGTCTGGTGCTTCTCCTCTTTCATAAACGTACATTTTGAAGCCATTTTCTGACTGTGCCTGTCCACTTCCATTCATCGTCTGCTCAGCCCTTTCAGTCTGATTTATCGTCCATCTCGATATCAATGATGCAGCCGCAGCCTGATAATGCAGCTGATAATGGAAGCCCGTCTGAAATTACAACCTGGCTAATGGGAAATAGAGAGACAGAGATGCACATTTCACGCATTTGTCTATATGAATGCACAAATGCTGGTGCATGTACATCTGTGTGTGTGTGCCTCAGTGTGTGAGTGTGTCCAACTGATACATCAGCGCACTGATCGATACGCAGCTGTCTGGGGCTCCACAGGAAGTCAGGGAATGCGCTGCAGTCAGCATGACTCTATACCAACTCACCAAGATAAGAAAACACACACAGATCTCCACACACACACACACACACACACAGATCAAATAAGTGCCAGGAAGGGTCTATTTCAGAGCCAGAAGAATGGCAGGTTGGCAGGTGCCAGAGGCTCTCGGGGGGGCTGGAGGTTTCCTGTGAGGAGTGTTAGGAGGTCGGAGAGCCAGCAGACACTGGAGGACCAATTAATACTTTTCAATGGAGGCAGCGAATTGGATGTGGCAAATCAAAATGTTACTGAAACCACTAAAAGATGAAATGCAGCAATTTACTGTGATATCAATTGTGCATTTAAAACCACGTCTCAAGCATATACCAATAATAGTATTTACTCACAAAAGCCCCAAGTAATATAACTCTAGTCTATGCCATAAGAGGAAAGTATTTTTGCAATGATATGCCTAACGTCCCTAGCTCTGCAGTGGACATTAGATAAGAACAAGCTTGAAGACCAACAAAGCTTTACTATACAAATTGTCTGATTTATCTATTTCTGTAGGAGAACAAAAAAAGGCCTGTGATTAACTAATTACAATTCCTTTGTAGCACAGTGAGAGAACTCTACTCAAGACTGTGCAGCAGTCTGGTTAACTTCCTCTCTCTCGCAAGGCTTAAAATCTGTGCATGTCTGCAGGCCTCAGTGGCTTTAAATATCACTATAAAACAGTCACAGTTCTGTTTCATAGGAAAGCTGTTGCTACATTGCTTCAACTTTTAAGTTAGATTATAAATTGTCTGTAATAAGTACAGTATGTTAACATGTGATATCAAACTGTTGGCATCACAAGTAAAGGCAAACCTATTGACATGATTACGTTTCCTGCAGCCAAATAGTCAATATGCTGTTTGAAGTAGCTGCTGTGTCCACACTTGGTGACAATCATTTCAGTTGCTCTGCTTGCATGATATAATGCAGATTCTTTCATAAATTCTTTCCAGTGTTAGGATTTTAAACAGCCGTAGGATGAAGACAGTTAGCACTGGTTATATAACGGTCTCAGCATCTGGAAACCTCCAGACTTGAGCACCAGCCAGCACTGGGAATCTACACTCTTGCCCAACCTTGACACAGGAAAACAGGGTGAGACGGCCAAACGCTAGGCTGTGCATCAGGAGAGTATGACAATATTTATATTTATATCATCACCAGGGTAGGATTTCTGGCACCACAACATTGTCGCACCTGTTATTTCAGTCAGCCTTAGAGTGCCAGGTTTCAGGGTGAAGGGTTAGGTGTCCGTCTCTCTCAGGGCCACGAGTGTGCATGGTTGTGTGTCCTTTAGCATGCATGTGAATGGGTGGATAATTATGTATGTGTGTGAAGGTGCAAAATGGATTATTTTAATAGACAGTGCATCAAAATTCTGAAATACAGGTCTGTTCATGTATGTTTGTTGGTATTTACAAAAATTAATAGCAGCCATCTGAGAGGAATGCAAAAAACACTTACAGAGGAATTCAAACATACTGTACAAACACAGCGCAAAGACACAGAGACTGCAACAGTGACGCAAAGTTCCTCTGCTGCTGTCATGTAGCTATGCAATCATCATTCAGAGGAAAAGATCACAGTGTCGCCTAACATGGCAGCCAACAAGATTGAAGCGAGAGGAGCCAGACGGTCGTTTGGTTTCGGCGCTTCATCTTTGTGAGTTGAACGGACACATACGACTCCCCTTGATTTAGTCACACAAATATTTCTGTGCAATGTTAAATTGGTCTCCAGATCTTATTAAATTATTGATTGAGGAGGTATGCAGTGATGGATGGCAACTGCACAGTGATGAAGAAAGCTTAGCTATAGTCTGTGAGCTGAATTATTGAAAAAGATAATAACGTGCAGGTTAAATAAAAAGGTTAGTCTACAAGGAAATTCAGAGGGTGAGATACTACTTTATAATAACTCCCTTAAATATTAGGTATGGTGCACTGGTGCTTTCACAGATGGGTTTCAGCAGCCAAGAACATTTTTTAGAAGTGTAACCACAAAGAGCACATCCTGCGAGGATAAGTCAAATATAGTTACTTTGCAATGTGATGTGAAAAAAGAAGAGAAATCATTAAGTCCTTATGTTTATTACACAAAAAGAACAACAAAGGCATCACCTTCATCATATGATTCATCACTGTGACTCAAAAAAACTGAACTACTCAGCTGAGTAATGTCCTGATATGTGACCATTCAGAATTAGTAAAAGTAGAAAAAAGGCTTTTCTTTTCTTTTATAAGCATCATTAAGTATGTTAAGCAAAAAAAAAAAAAAAAAAAAGCAGGCCCTCGTGGATGAGGTTTAACATCATTTGTTTGGGAAACAACAGCAGTGGGCGGACAGACAAAAAGAAATGCCATTACAAACAATCCATTTAATTTTCAAATCAAGTAAATGCGTAAGAAACCAGCCTTTGGTACAAAGTTATTAAAAAAGGAACCCACATCTATCGTTTTATGTCAAGTAGATGTTTTTGCTTAATTATGAAAAATGTAAAGCCAAACATGAGGGTAATGCAAAAATTTTTTAGTCACAGGCAAGGTACAGTCCAGGCATGTACTGTGGGTGATATTCGAGAAGGCAGAAAACCGACACTGCTTTATTCAGCACACTGAGAAAATAACGCGAGGAAATCTTTGCTCCGCTGTCTTTATCTCTGTATACAATGCGATGCTGCATCTTGAGTATGTAACATCACACTTTGTGCAAAAAGCACACAAATATGTTGCACGCAAAATACAAAATAAAGTACATCGTAAATACATCAGTCTGGTTTTCACTTGGCTGAAAGTTTGTAGATCATTTTTACATGAACTAGCATCGACTTGAAGTAAGTACAGGACAGAGGGAGTAGTGAAGGGTCCTTTTGTTGGTAGATATACAAGGCTACACTAGTCAAAGCTAGAATCCAGACCTGAGCATAGGATATCCATTCAGATGGTTGGCATGAATGAATGACACACTGGCTGAGGTCATTCTTTGGAAAGTCATGTTTTCACTGTCCTCTGATGCTATGCATGATTCCAGGCAGGTTACTCAGAGCGTACTGCTGAATAACTGATGTTGTTTCAGGTCCTTTACTTGCCTTTCTTGGTCAGTTAGGCTCCACGGGATGCCACGTACATTCTAAGAGTGAGTTGAACTCACAGCTAAAGCACTTCTGAGTCTGTAGTAGTGGAGAAGCAGTCTGGATTTGGTATATACAACAGTATAAAGAGGGAAAAAAGGAAGGTTCCAAGTTCAGATGTTGTCACTGAAGGCTTCTGGTTGGTTCAAACACACAGTGTAATGGAGATCAAATGATGACCGTCTCTATGTGAAAGGCGTGTGAGTAGGTAAAGGAGGAGCTGTGTTTCAGGAGGGGGAAGGCTGGAGGCCCCACAGGGGTGGAGGAAGGAGAGGAGGAGGTGGACGAAGTCGGGGAGCGGCTGGCCCAGCGGGAGGGGAGGCGACGGTTGGCTGGACGAGCAGGCCTCGAAAAGTTCTTCTGGACGGAGGAGGAAGAGACAGAAGGCTCGTCATGTTCCTGTGGAGAAATAAATGAATTAACATTTAGGATTATCACACCGCTCTGTCTACAATCTAATTCACACACTCAGATACTTTACATTTTGTCACGTGTTCCATCTGTTGTCTTCTTGACCCTGGGGAACACAACAGGCATATTTCAAACAGGAACACTAAAAAAGTCAGCAAACTCATGTGAAAAGGTCACACAAGCAGATCCCATTGATTTTGGTCAAGAGGGAAGTTGAACTCTTAATACCTTACACGTGTTGCGGTTCTACCATTTAGGAGCACTTCAAAATCTCAACGTTTTATCTTGGACGGTGCTCTGCGGGTGAAGTTAAACTGAAGTGGTGCCTCTAATTACATTCTTTTCATGAGGTCAAATAAAATTGGCTTGATAATTGCGCCCACAATTTCTTTAACATTTGCATGACTTTAAAGCAGCATAATCACTTCAGCTTTCTCCTTTCTGTGGTCTGCCAAGGGCATTTAGTCAGCTGGCTTCTTGCAGATACTTCTGTAATTACAACACAAAGGCCAGAAAAACACTTCCACTATGAGGCCCTGTGGAAGGACTGAGAGATGAAAGACAAACTGGTGAGAGCGATTCACCTCCTGCCTAGTATAAACTTTATATACCCCACTGCCAGTTCCTCCTGTTGGGAGCCTTTAAGCAATGGATTGGCCCAGATGCCCAGATTATAATGGAGGCTTTGGCCTGCTTCTGTCTCTTAGCACATACCAGAAATAAACAACATTCCCACCGGAGCTGTCCTCAGTCAAGGGCAATCACTTAGTGTTTTTAGAATGGAATGGAACAGAATGAAATGTACAAGTTCATCCAGGTTCACCGGCATATCTGGCCTTCAAAGTATAGTTTGATTTAATTATATTTTAGCCAAAACCAAATGTACACTTGCATACTTCATTCCAACCAAATGGAACCATCTGCACAGTGCTGGGTGGTAAGACATTTGCATATATGTAGTAAGTGTGTGTACGTGTATCAGGCTGTACCCACCTGCACTATAAGCTGTATCTCTTTCACACCCATGCCACTGTGGCTGCTGAGCTGTGCATGTGTGGTGTGTGTCTGTGCAGTGTGTGACATCTGTGTGTGTCTCAGAGTAGCAGGTAAAGGCAGAGGCTCCATGTCCAGCATGTCCAGTTCTGTGACATTCTCCTCCTGCCTAACATTGAAGTTAGGGCTTGAAGCCACCTCGTTCAGTTGGCTGTGGCTCTGTTGTGCTCGAGCTGCACTCTCGTAATTTTTTAGGATCCTTTCCACTGCCCCATAGTTGGACCTGGATCCCTCAGGACGTGGGTATGCAGCAAGAGTGAGGGGCTTCCAGGGATGGTCATTCATCATTCGAGGTCCAGGTCTGGAGGAGTCAGACACATGTCTTGGCTGTGTCATCTGTCTTTGTTTGTTCTCAGCAGACAACTGTTGGAGTGAGACATCAGCTCTGGCTGTCTGAGGCTTTGCTCCATGGGGATCCTCTTTCTTAGAGCTGGAATCATCAGCAGGCTGACCTGGCTGGGTATTTGCAGGCAAGACAGACTCAGAAAAAAAAGCCTCTGTGGCTGCTTTGGGTTGTGTTTTTCTGGAAGGACTGCTTGCTGTTCGAACTTTGTGTTTGACCTCACAATGGAGTACAGCATTCTGAGAGGTCTCCCTGAGTTCAGCCTGCGGCTGGTCAGGTGAAAAGACAGGAGGGGGTCCTTGCTTTATCCTGACGTCTTGGGCTTCAGGAGCACATCTCATTCGCCTCAACTGGACCTCACTGTTCTGTGTTATGGGTTCTGAGATGGAGAGTGGTAATGTCACCTCAGGATGTGAATCCATGATGTTAGTGCTGACATCAGTACAATGTTGCTGAAATTTAATGTCTTTGGGAGAAAAACCTTCATCTGATGCTGTCAGGATTGGTTGGCAACCCACAGAGCTGGTGTCTGTTACAGTAAAAGTGTTTTGCTCCTCTACGCCACGGCCCATCTCAGCCTGAAACAAAGTTCTGTTGAACTCTGCTGTTTTTTGTTCCAGCATTATGTTTCTCTTGGAGCCCTGGAGTTTAGGGCTGACAGGTGTTATTTCCAGAGAGGACAACAGCAAATCAACAGGTAAGTCTCTGACAATTGAAGGTATTTGTAGCTCAGGGCTTTTTAAGTTCACGCCAGGTCTGTAATCTGAGCGCAAGTCTTTCGCAGCACTCAGTATGTTGACTTCAGAGAAGCTTTTCTGGACAGTCCCATATGTAGATAACTTACTGTTAGTGAACTTGCTTGCATCACAGGACCAGCGACTGTGGCAGCAGCCTGTATTACAGTTAGAGTTAGCAGGTACAGAGCATGATGCCATCACTCCATCTATGAAAACTTTGCCTTCGTTTTCTTGCAGCATAGCTTCAAACTTCCTGACAATGGATGGGCTGCTGCACTTTCTGTCCACCAGAACACAGGGGCTGTGGCACTTCCTCACAGTCGCCATGGGGGATTCTGGGATGTGGAGTTCTGTTTCTTGATGAGAGCTCAGATTCCAGGAGGAGGTGCGGGGAGGGATGGGTGGGGCTGCTGTATCCGTTTCAGAGTGTACTCCAGGGCTTGTCTGTGCGCCTCTGTAGCTATCTGGATCAGCAGTGCTTGCTGTCCTGCTCTCCCTTGGCCCTCTGTTGGCCTGCCAGGTGTTATCTGGTGACAAGGTGATCCAGTTTTCTCTCTCCAAGGCCCGAAGGTCATCGTAGATCTGGCTGAGGTCACAAGGAGCTTCATCTACCTCTGGGCAGGTTTTATCTTGGCCAAAGAGAATCTCACTATCCCCAGGTAGGCACAGGGATTCTGATCGATTCCTGAAAGGAATTAAAGAGTACTTTTACCCCTATCTCGTTTAATAAAATCTCAATCACTTGAGACATGTTAAAATGTAATTTATGATTCAGTCACAGCCCTGAAACAAACATGGCACTGAAAGTATGCACATGGTAAGCCTCAGCATGTAGCGATTATAGTAATTCCATGTTGGTACCAGGAAGTGAACATAGCAAGGGGGATTTACCTCTTATCTCCACTCTTCTTTCTGATCTCATCCTGGTAGCTACAAAGCTCTTCACTTACACGAGCTATCTCCTTCAGAGCCTGCGATCAGAGACAAGGAGGAAAAAGAAAGAAATAGACAATTTGAATACTGTGTATTAATTAAGTATTGTGCAAATGAAACTTAAAGCTTTAACTCTGTGGTGAGCCAAATAAAGAGAACTGTATCCTTAAGCCTAGTGATGGCTAAAACATGAACACAGCAACACTTATAATCAAAAACATTTATGACAGCAACACAGAAAAGTAAAGGTGAGAGATCGCAAATATGCTGCATACTGCATAGTGTTAAGAGCACATAAAAATAGTTAAACTCACTCACAGCATTGAGAGCAGTGGTGTTCTTCTTCTTGTCACTGCCGTAACTCAGTCCTGCCCAGACAGGACTTTCTTGAGGATTAGCGTGGACGCTTGTTTCATTTCCTTTAGAGGTGTATTCCTGTGCTACTCCACATCCAGGAGCTCCGTGAAAAATAGCATCCAGCTCTGTTGTATCCACAGCTTCCTTACAATCACTGACGGAGTCTTGAAGCCAAGTTCCTCTGGATCTCAGTTCATTAACAAGCTCAGGTTGTGGATGTTCACTATGAGTGAACTGACTACCAACATTAAATTCACTGAAGCCATCCGCCTGGAAACAGGTGGACTGCTGACTGTCTCTGTTACGACAACCCCCATTGCCACTGATGTCTCTGTTGTGACCAAAGCCAGGCACAGGTGGATGTCTGGTCGGTTCTGATTGACTGCTGTCACTGAGCAGACTGGAGCCTGTGCTGGTGGAACGTATGCTGAGCCTGTTCACAACGTCATCGTCATCCTGCCTCCTGCCGTCCCGCTCGGTCCCCCCACGCTTGGTTTTCACCTCACAATACAGCTAGAGATGGGAAAAAGAAGCAGAGGTCAAAATGTATTCAGCTAGAAAAAACACACACTCAACAATAGGTTTAAGATAAGAGATAAGATCAGATAAAACTTTATTAATCCTGAAGGAAATTCTTGTGCCAGATATTGCTCATAAAAAACAAAATGGGCATAAAATAAGAAATTCAAAAGGTAGAAAAGCAATAAGATATAAGTATGATACAGTACTGAAATAAAATAAGCAAGCTAAAATAAGGTTAGAATAGACCCGTAAAAAGTCATGCCGGTAATAAGTAATATCACACATGATAATGAAATATTGCACCTAAAAATGAGATGAAAATGAAATGTTGTCCATGAAACTGAAATATTATTTGTGAGAAATGAAAGAATAATTGCAAATTACATATTGTAAATTAAATGAAATGCTACACATGATACCGAAACTCATATTGCACGAACTACTGAGAAGTAATATTCCAAATTACGTTGATATTGTTGTTGAGATTTAAGTGTCCACTGTTTTCCAAAGACGAAGGAAAAACAACACTACGGTTAATTTATTTCAATAGGCCAATTATTAACAATTAAATCACAACTACATATCCAGTATCAAATTAGTGTGTAGCAGTCTATATTATGACAGTACTTTCTGTAACTAATATGAGGGGTTAAGATGAAGTTAAATATATGGGTAAAAGACTCACACAGTGTGCAGAATGTAAATGCCACAATATGATTATATAGAAATATTTTACTGTTTGAGCACGATTACCAGCTAAAGTTGGATGATGAGAAGTCAGGCAAGAGAGCACTAAAACTAGCAAACATTTTTAGACCACAGAAGATTTAAAAAAACATTCAGGGAATTCTTTCAAATAAAATTGGATAACCTCTGGCCTTCTACCATGAAAATCTCAAAATAGTACCTATTTCATGTTGACTGGGCTCCCTTCCCATCATGCAACGTCTGCATGGGACTACTGCCTTTTAGCCTGCTTTATTCCTCTGTCGCTTTCCTCTCTCATTTTCTGGTCTCAAAGGGGCAAATGAGAGCCACATGTTCTTTTCATAGCAAATTGTTCCAGTGCTTTCCCTCTCTGTCCAACTACTTGGATATGGCTTCACTCATAAAAAAGCAAAACAAAAAAAAAAACACTAATCTGCTCTTCTGGGCATGTCAGATGTTAATCCACTGCTAGACTTGGGCTTTGTCATCACCCGTGTTAAACTGTCTCTTTCTTTGCCTTTGTAATTCTCTCTTAGGCATATTCATTTGTTCTGAATTACTTCCTTATCTATTCCTTCTCATCCTATTATACTTTTCTCGTCAGCTCGTTTTAATCTAATTCCTTCTTTGCGACCCAACTTGTTGAAGACGAGTCTCATTATGGCTGCAGCTAAAATGAGTTTTCAATGTAAGTTTATCTGCTTAATAATTTGGTAATAGATAGACTGACTGATGTAAACACATTTTTAAAAATTCTCATAAGTTCCTATAGGTCATGGTCGCTTTTTTCGATTACTTACATAAGACAAGTAGATTTATTACTATGCAGCAGCAAATTGTCACATTTGAGAAAGTGGAAGCAGCTACATTTGTGCATTTTTGCTTGTAAAACAACAGTTAATCTTATTGCTGAGTTACTTTTCAGTCAATAGGACACTAATTTACTAGTTGTTTCTATTGCTCATTTTCCCCTGAGAATAATTTCCTAAAATGAAATATATCCTAAAAACTAAAACTGGTCCAAAATGAGTTCGCTCTCTAACTGACATGATTAGGCATATTTCTAAACATAAACAAATTGACATTTTCCTAAAGTTGATTTCATTTTTTAACTTTCTCTTCAGAAATATGTCAATAATGTGATACAAAGGTGGTACTAAGGGCACAATATCAATGCATTCTCAAAATGATAAATATGACTGCATAATAAACATTTCTGATTACAGCCACCTGTGGAGCAGTACATTTTTATCTTTTAATCTTTTGTAAATAACTTTCTGTTGCCTGCCAGGTTCCCCATCTACACCACTCCAGCTCATGGTCCATCTCAAACTGTTTCTGTCTTAGAGATCAGAGAAGCTGCAGATCTCTTGCTCTCCCTCCTCGGACTCCTTGCTCAGATCTTGGATGTTGTTTTGACAGTGTTGATGCTGAGCAGGATGTGTAGGAGGGAGGTGTTACACACTGCGGGCAGCTCAGCACATAGGAAGCCATATATCATATATGACTTAGGTCAAACATCCTCGGAATGATGGACAATTAAAAATGCAGAGATTCAAAAACAATGTAGAAGAGCTTGGAAAGAGGATTTCATCTTTTTGAGAGTCTCTGCTATCTGTCTGGCCTTTTCTTTTATCTAAATCCAACTTAAACCGCAAAGTAAATCATCAAATCTTTATAAATTGTGGACATATTCTCATGAAGCCCCACACTCAGAGCATCTTACCTCCTCTATTTTCTTCTGCATATCCTTCAGCTGGCTCTCCCACTCTCTTCTCTCCACATTGAATCTTTCCAGCAGCTCGGCTTTCTCCCTCAACCAGTCCCGCTCATTGTGCTCCAGCCGGCAGCGCAGGTCCATGGCTGCTGAATGTGTGTCAGCCAGGATCCTCCGCTGCTCTTCCCTCTCCTTGCGGAGCGTCGAGGTCTCGCCGGTCTGCTCCCGAGGACTCCGCGATGCCACAGAGCCGGATCCTGCTGCTGACTGCACCCCTCCACTGGCCAACCCGGTAGCTTCTCTACCCTCCAACTGCGTGAAGCAGACAGGGAGTGCAGAGGGCACAGAGGAGGGAGAGAGAAGTGAGCAGGGAGATGGACAGGGAGAGAGTGGGAGAGACGGCGGTGATAAAGGATTGATTGCAGTTGGAGAACCGGAGGACGAGAGCCAGATAACGAGACATGCAAAGCAGGGGTGGGAGAATATGTTAAAAGTGGAATTGAGAGAATGAAGGAGTGGCAGGAAGAGAAGGTGGAGGAAGTGGGGGAATAAAGCACCGTGGGGATAAGTGTGAGTGGGTTCATAGGAGGGAAGAGGGAGAAAAGACAAAAGATTGAACAGTGAAAATATCCTGTAAGAACTCGCGCTCTGGGTTCATGGGTTCAGGGTTCAAGCTTCTTTTCAATGGTACTTTACTGACACAGGATACAGTGCAGGATACGGGAGATTCAGGAACAGCAAAATATGTCAGCAGATGTGGCCTAGTCAAACGATACCCTGGTGATGCCGTTTTTAAGAGAAACACAGATCTATACAAAGATAACAACTAAAGCTTCTGATTTCGAGCAATGCCGACATACGAAAATGCTAATTTAATTGGGCTCCATTTGAAATTTTTGTTCTAATTTTGATAAAACTGATTGCCCGCTATCAATGCCCTTTTTAAGTAAAATACCATGGGCATTTCCCCTGGGACTTTCCCTGTGTCAGGGCCAAAAACTTCAGCTGAAAGCATGTCACTACTTTACAGAGACTGAGAAGAAGTGCTGCAAATCTACACATTGATTAATACAGTGTTCTTAAGACAGACTCCAGAATTCACTGACTGAATTCACTAGCAACAAAGACTTAAGAACTGGTCGCATCTTAACATAGAAAAATGCTCTCAGGAAATCCCCTCTGAATTGTTCTTTTAACAGAAAGTTCCCTGATCCGTAGAATATCCTCTCATTAAAAAACTAAGAATAAGGGTGTGTTGTAGTGCATAGATGTGTACATTCTGTGGTAAATGTGCATTTTTGTTGCTAGTAAAAACGGGGAAAAAAATGTTGGCTTTGGTACTGGAAAGGACCCAAGACAACGCCTGTGCATGTATTCACGTGCATCTGTGAGTGTGTGTGTGTGTGTGTGTCTTTTGTGCATATGAGCATGCCTCAATGTGTTATTTCAGTGTTCAGCCACAGACATCAACCAAAGCCTTCTTACAAGCCTCGGTCATGGTGCTATTTCTGCCTGTGGCCTCGGGTCAAGAAATTATGGTGTAGAAAAACAAGTCAACCCATTCTGTCTGCCTGTGGCTCTTCTCAAAGTTCTCCACAATTAGAGATGGATGATGATGGGTGCTGTCCGCAGTCTATTTCAATGTTCAAATGTAAACAAATAGTGAAAGTGCAAAAACAAGATGCTTGGAGTCACAATGAAGAGCCAAGCACCGTTTTCATTGTTTGAGAATGCAAATGTTTTCATTTCATGTCTTCTTAATGGAAATTCTGGAGCAACCGAACATGTAAACAAGAACGCTCATTACCGGCATCCAGTTCACGGAAACACACTCATGCAGACGTGCACCCTCAAATTCAGTCTTGAGAAGCCGCTTCCAACTTCTTCTGGCCACCCTGACTGTCAGTGCATAGGGTATATAAAGGTAACTGTGTCACCAGGGTGACCCACTATAAATAGCGGACACACAGCCTTGTACAATGTCACATTCCGAGGGGAGGTGGGGAGCCGAGGTAAAGGGAGGAGGGGGAGTTGGCTGCTAAGACAGAGTGAGATGTCTCCTAGCTGCCAGCAGCATTCATAAATCAGTGGCATGCGGAGAAATATGCCTGAAAATATCCGGCCCAAGACTTCTGCCTGGGAGCTTGGATGCTTTCTCGGTATTTGGTGGTAGAAATGCCCAGAAAGAATGTGGAGTCAACATACAGTAGTGACATACAGCCATAATCTACTGTGGAGAAAAGGTGTGTAATTAAAATCTCAAGAATAGAATACGCAAATAAACAACTGTTGATGAGCTGCAACCATGTTTATGCTAAACTGACACGCATGGGATCAGAGCCCATAATCTCTTGTGCAGTGATTACAGTACATCACACAGTGTCAGCTGAGCCAAATTTTAAATGAAGTATTGACGAAGCTGAACTGTTTGATCCAATTAAAAACAGAATACATTTTTTAAAAAATGTCTGATTATATTATATAGGAGCTGGAAGTAGTAGAAGTTTCTCTCTCCTGGTCAGGATTTCTTTGCTGTGTCAATATCCAGATGCCGTTTTACTTTCTGGTTCACTGAAAATTCCTACTTAGTGAATCTGTACATACTGTAATCAACATCCCAAAGAGCAAGAGTTCAGGTGAACCCGTCTTCACTGTCTGACTCAGCTGGTCATCGTGATCAGCATTAGCATTCAAACTGTCCTAACAATTACCTTCAAGCTCTTTAACACTCTGTTTTCACTCCGTCTGAGCTAAAAATGGCCACCACTGGTACAGTGAAACCAGCATGTGGAAAATGACAGAGGAGTTTCTCACCCTTGTTGAAATTGTTCACATTTCACTTCTAAGTGAAATGAAGTTACGCCCTTTTTGGCCCCCTGACCTCGCCTTCTTGTTAAGGTTTTGTCTGTGTTAAAATCAGTCTGTGCTTGATGTGTGCAGCAGTTCGTACATAAATAAATGAAGTAAATCTTTCAAAATGTATCGCATACAGTGTGTTGCGTGGATTTAGAGAACAGGATTTCAACAAATAGTCAAAGATCAACATGCAAATTGCAAAACAATCTTATTTTCTTGCACTAAAACAGACCAACATTTGGTTCTGGAAAAATTTACTCTAAACTGTCCCATGTGAAAAACAAGTTGGCTGCAAACGTGTTAAGTCTGTAAATCAGTCACTTGATTACTCAGCTGCAAATGATTTCAGAAAACCTGACTTGTATTTTGAACCTTATGAGCAGCCTTAGATTAGCACTTGGTAAACATGTACCCAAAACTATAAACTGTGGCGGGATGTGGCATCAAGACAAAACAACTTTTACAATGGAACTAACCCCACTCAGCATGGCCTCACCCCAGGTCACATTTCCATTTGGTCTGTTTGTGCAATCAGTGTAGAAAACTACACGGGAATGTCTGCAAGTGTGAGCAGTTTTCCATTCTGAATAACTGTACATTTGGAATATTCACACACATGCAAATACACAAACTGTGATGAGCGCTTTGCAAATACACAAAAAAGACAGACACTGAGACATCCCTCCTGTCCTTGGTAGGTAACTGCCTCTAATAAAAATGCTTTACATGTACCGGCATCTTGGCAAAAACATTGTGCGTGTTTTTGTGTGATCCTCTGCATAAACTGAATTATCATTCTCTTGCTGCCTGACTGGGCTTCACAAACACAAAGCAGAACAGTAAATGTCTGTTTTTGCATGGCTCTTTGTCAACCCCACTGTGAGAAGGCCAGACGGACAAAGAGAGGAGCTGAAGAGTAACAGTGTGTCCTCAACTCACATAAAGGAAACTGCATTAGCTACTAAACCAACTGTGTGTGTGTGTGTGTGTGTGTGTGTGTGTGTGTGTATGTGTGTGTGTGATCTGTGATCTGGTAAATCCATGTTACTGTGCTGAATTCCTGCTTTATCGTGTCACCAGTGGTTTGTCCAACTGCTCTCCAGTAGCACTGCAGCAGCTTGTTAATTTCCAGCACCATATTATGGAATTTCTGAACTTTATCGCAGTGAGAGAATCATTAGCTTCAGACTAAAGGAGAGCAGATGCATTAACAATCAGTGTTATGTCTGTGATAAGAATCAGACAGGCTCAGATGATAAAGACGCTGTCTGAACTACAGATATAAAAAGCACAGAGGCACGAAAAGACAGTCAGCAGGGAGAGAAATCCAAATCTGAACAGAGTCAAAAGTTTTCAGATTTTTAATCTACAAAAGGCTGAACAAGTCTCGTCAGGTTTAGACTTCTACTTTAAGCGAGCCAAATAAATCCATCTTCTGATAGAACCAGGGAAAAAAAGCTAAATCCCTAAAAGCCACATTGCTTTGAAGAATAGCTTTGCACGGTCATTCAAGTGATTGGTACATTGCCTGACACAGCATGGCACTGGTATGCAAACTTAACTCTGTGTATTTTCTTCCCATTTCAAGCAAATTTAACAGCAGCTTTCTTTTGCCAAAACAGACTAATATCTCATCTGCTTAGAGCTAGCTGTTAAAAGCCAAGTGTCATCTGGCTGAGCGGGGATAACTAAGTTTGTCTCCTCAGTGCAAATCTTTTGTCTAAGCTGAGGCTCGAGCTGGACGGATGCCACAGTGACTTATAACCCTGCCATATGGGTGGCGAGTCCAATTTACACCACCCTGAATGCCAGACATGCACAGACACAGGAAAATGCACAAACATAATACACACAAGGAACAACATTGATAGTAGCTGAAATCAAACATTCTTCACTGTATGTGCAGTGCAGTTGTTAACGATTGCTGTTTAACAAGATAACTTTTTGGATTTTGGATAACTATCTTCATACTTGCGGATGTGTCAGCACACACACTTCAACACAACACAAACACAAAACTGTCTAAAACTCCACATTTGACGTACTGCTTTTTGTGTACAGTGAAAGACTCTAAAATCCCACCCATACAGCATCATCATCCATCACCTACCTGCGCAATCCTGCATTTGAGCTCAGCTTTCTCCAGCTCCCAGGCACATCTGTCTCTGGTATACTGCAGCTGGAGCTCGCTCCTCTTCTCCTCCTCTCTCTTCACCTCCGCCTGCACTTCGTCCAAAACCGTCTTCAGGTCCAACAGAATCCTCCTGTTCTCCCCTCCCTGCATGGAAACACAGTTGGCAGCAATCTTGTCAATCAAACATGCCAGATGAACTGCCTGCTCACCCAAATGCAGTGACAGTATCACACCTCTCATCACAATCACACTGAGGGCCTATGAAGGAAATCAATGCTTGATTATAAATTATCCATCTATCTATACACCGCTTAATCCTCACTAGGGTTGATTATAAATTAGATTTTGAATTTGAATCTAGTAAGAATATTCTAGGAAAAATAAAGATGATACCACAAAATAAGACAAACCCACTGTGACTAATCTACCACAGGCAATCAGTAACTTCCCATGCGTCCTGACGCAGGAAATGCGCACACAAAAACACACTCAGCTTTCACAGGGGAGGTAAATATCCCCAATTACTTGTATGTCAGCCACTTCTCTCAACAATGACTCCTTCTCTCGCATCCATTCCTCCTTGTCCTGTACGTGTCGCTTTTTCAAATCTTCAAACTTCTTTTTTAGCCGAATGTGCTGTGTTTGCTGCTGGTGCTGCTGCTGCTGGGGTTCGGGTCCGGGCCACATTTGTCCCCTGAGGATCTCAAGCTGCGTCCCTGCTCCACCCTCTCCTCCACCCGGGGAAGCACCGAACTGGGGCTCGTAGGTCTGACTGAAGACGGTGGGTGGAGAGGAGATCCTCCTCAGCGGGCTGCGGCTTTTGCCCCTTCCTCTATCTGCCCTCTCCATCCTGGTGCACGGCACAAACTCCCATCCCTGAGACGGCACGTATCCCCCACCGGCACCGCCCCCAGCGTGCAGCCCCGAGCCGTTCATAAACGCACTCCACATTTCCCAAGTGCATTAAAACATAAAACTTAAAACAGAAACTTAACTGGACTAATTAGTAGAAGCTGATCACCAAGCTATTTTGTAAGTATCCATGTCTGCTCTGTAAAGCGAACACTGGAATAATCTCTGATACAGTTTAACATAGTTTCCCATCAACTCAAACTGTTGTGGTGACCAGCGGCATAATAAAAGCGCCAGTTATCCAAACCCAGCCAGGTCCCCCGCCGGCCACACAGCAGCACCAAGGGCAGCAGTCACCGCTGTGCGAACCGGACTGGACGCTTTGGTCCCCTCCATGTCCAAACGGAGACTCGGTCAAGCCGTCATTCTGGTGCCAGAGTCCCCACGGTGCGTCCTATGTGTCTTTCAAATCTCTCCTCACTGCTGCTTGTACATGTTTACATGCAGAGCCCTCAGGACGCTGCGTGTCTCTGCGCTGCACTGAGGCGACAATCCAGAGCTTGGATGTGACAGACACCCAGTAACCGCTCCGAGGCGAATGGGAGAAGCTCCCAAAAATATCCCGTCGAGCACTGATGTAAGAGCAGCGGAGAGTATTTTTACACCTCCCCTGTAACCAGGACGTTATTTTCCCGAAGCCAGATAGCTGAACGGCGCCTGGAGGAGGCAGCGGCCGTTAATCAACACCGGGACGCTCTAATTAGCCCGCGGCGCTGGATGTGCCACCTTGCGCTGTCCCCATGGCAACGAATCAATTCCGCCGGAGCGCAAAAACAACGCTAAAGTTTACCATTTTAGACGCAACAAACTACTTCTCTCGACTCCGACAGCACAAAAAGTTACACTAAACGTCCTACTACTCGTGCAAAACAACTCCTGGGTGTCTTACCTCCCCTGTAAACAAAGCTGGTTCGGCCACCTCCTTTATTTTGCCATTTGGAGCCGCGGTAGCTTTACGCACATCCTTCTGCCATCTGCTGTCTTAGCATGAGAGGGGGATGACTATCACGAGGAAAGCGACGAGGGGTGGGATTTTATTTGAGAGATGGATCTACAGTAGCTCGTCTGTATCAGGGCCTGAAAAGAGTAACTGTTAAGTAGTAATGCTAAGTAACAGTAACGCGCCTGGCTGCTGCAGTCTTACCTCGATGCTGGACGTTGCAATGAATGTCCTCATTCAAAAGCAGCCCACATTGTAGCCAGTGAAGTAGCTGAAACGCTGTCTGTACTGGAATGCAGTGGCTTAGTTAAAAACAACTGGAGAGCCTACAGCTGAAATGATGCTTTCATTAACTGGAATAAACTCCCCCTTTCTCCTCCTCCTCCTCCCTGCCTGCACAGCTGGCCCTAATATTTGACGTAAAACATCCCACCGGTGGGTTGAAAGCAGTGGACCGGTACCGCCTCCGTCCTGGTGGTCAGGTCCGCTGGTTAAACAGATCCTCCTTCACTTATTTTTGGCTCTACTTTTCAGACCCACCCAAGGGCGCTTTAGCACAATTCTGCCAATGCCCCCTATAATACTCCCCACAGCCCTCCAGATAATTTGTTGCAGATTATGTTGACACTGTGTCATGACTCAGAACAGTTGCCTAAGAAGAACTTGCAAGACGTGAGCCCATTTGTTTCAATGTCAGACAGTCTGAGTGTCAATGTTATTGTGGGAGTGTGCTTGGGTGTCCTGTGCTGTTATGAGCAGGGGGCAGAGCCAAGGGGTGGCCAAGGCCTACTCAGAGTATGATTGCCATGTCTGATGAAGACTTTGAATGCGGACAGTGGATGTTCACACTGTTCTGGTCCTGCTGCAAACCGTATATCAAACAGAGAAACAAACAGAGGTCCCATTGATGTTGCTGAAAGGCCAGCTGTGGCTTTGCACTTTTCACAGGATCTGACCATAGCACAGGATTTCTGGAGAAATCAGAACTTCCTACTGTGTTTTGACAAAACTGATGGAAAGCACATACAAATCAAAGCACTTCCAAAGTCCTGCAGCCTCTACTTCAATTACAACACTTTTGATGATGAATTATAAAAGGTGCAGATGACGAAGAATCTCCTTGTGTAGTCTCTACTTATAGCAAACATTTGTTTGAAGCATCATTTGTTTTCCTGTGCAGTCAGCACATTTGCAGTTGCAACTTTTGGGTCTGTGTGGACCACTACGGACTCGGATAGATTATGAAATTCACATCATGTGTAACTGTGCAGACGTGAACGCAGAAAGCATGAACTAACCTTAAATTCTGGCTACCCCACATAATAGATAGTAAAGCTTCTTTGAGGGCGACACATATTCATAGAGTTGGAGTTATGTTCTGATGCTAATGTAATTTAATTTGTAAAATCAACTATTTAAAAAAAAAAAAAAAGCATGAGATGGAAAAACAGTTTTAGATGTTGGGGTGTTTTTCTTTTTGTATTTTCAGTTGACAGTAGCATACACACACACACACAAAGATTCACGCAATAGGTGAATGATTAAAAAAATAATAATCAAAAGTGACCAAAATGAAAGAGTTTTTGGTCTATTGCAATGTGCCACACAAAAAAATGGCATCATTTCTCTGCTACCCCAGTATAAGTAATGATCTCAGCCTGGCTACACATTTAATGACTGTCTGCCTCCGTCACTGATCAAAACACAAATTTCCGTAATGACTATGTCTTCCTGCACTGACATGCAAAAGTCATACATACACATCAAAAATAAAGAAAATCTTACAACCCATTTTCAATTCCTCAACTGAAGAGAAAACAGTGACCCTGAAGGCTACAGACAAGATGCTTTTCAGCTCTTCACGGTTTAGAAAACAGATTTTTATCGCTTAACAGCAAGCTAAAGTTTTCCCCTCTGCATTTTTGAATCTAATTAAAGCTCTTGCACAACCACACAGATCTTTCCAGATACAGTGGCTGATTAGACCTCTGCTCAGGTTGAAACTAAATTGAGCTACGCAGGCATTAGGTCACCGGTTTCTATGCACTAATGAGGCTGAATGCTGTCCCACCCTGATTAACAAATAAGTGAGGCATCTGTCAATCAAGCACAGTCAGTGTGTGCCCACGCAGTCCTGAGAGGAAGTCAAATTAGGCATAAAGTGAAAACACCTGTGTGGGAGTATTACGGATGTATAGAGCCTTGGAGAACATTTTTAAAACTGGAACTCAAGATTGTTTTGAAAAAAATGACTCACAGTAAGAGAATTTAATGACACACTCACCTAACACTCCACCGTCGCTCCAAGCTGTGTGGTCTCCAGTAAATGTTGAAAGCATCTGAGTAGTTGAGTGGCTTGGGTCATACTTGGAAAGTGATAATATCCTGTACCTTGAGTGACCTTATGTGACGATGTGTTCAGCATAACAGAATGGAAATGAATGAAAAAGTTAAACAAAGAAAATAAAAAAAGGAACAATGAAGATGTGCATAACGTAATAGTGAATATGTGCTTTACAGAACAAAAAACAGGGTGAAAAGAAATACCAATTTAAAAATGGTGGCATAAGAGAGTGAGGAAAACAGAACAAGGATGAGGATCAGCAAAATAATGGGCTGGAACATCTTGATGGATGACAGTGAAATGAAAATGGGGAGGCGAGGGAGTGAAGAGCAGAATGACAAGCGGTTAGAACAAGAAAAGCCCATATCAGACAGCACAAAGACTAGAGCAAGTCACGTGTTTGCATCAGCTTACAGACAGCGGCTCCTCGGCCTGTTTATCCTCCTGCTTGGGGACATCCAGCCGGTCTATGAAGCTCTGCAGCTCCTTTCTGAAGGCCTTCATCTGGGCGTTGATGCGATACAGGAGCTCATGTTCTCTGATCCTGTGGAGCAGACGGAGAATGTGGTGTGCACTAGACGGAAACAGGGCGGTGACCACACAGAGCTGTAAGATGTGTTTTTTTACCTGCCACCCTCCTCATCCTCATCCAGCCGAGCAAACAGCTCCCCGTTGGTGACGTACACTCGGGCCTCAGCGATGATAGTGCTGGTGTCAGCGATGAGCCTATCGATGGTCCGACCCAGCCTCTCCGCCTCGATGCGGATGTCTATCATCTGTTGCCGGTCCTTCAGGCTTCTGGATAAAAAACGACTGTCTACAGGTGAGTAAAGGGAACGCGTCGGGGTGAGGCAGCGGATGTTCCTCACCTCGTCCGAGTCACTCTCCCCCCCGATGGGGCCCTCTCGCTTGCGGTGCGGAGGGAGGAGGCGAGGGGAGGAGGCCGAGGCCGAGGGGGTGTCGTCGTCCCGTCCTCCGTCGCTTTCGGCGTCGCTGTCTCGAGGGCTGCCGCGGATGCCCAGGTGGGAGGCCAGGTCGTAGCGCTGCATGTTGGAGAGCAACACACGGTTCTCGTACTGGAGCTGCATAACTTTGCCGCTCAGCTCATTGATCTGCAGTCGTGCTGCTTTCAGCTCCTCCTGGAGGGCCTCTACTTTAGCAGGGTCAGCTCCTCCTGGGGTTGAAACAAGGCAACAATGAAAAGTGGAACACTTCTGCAAATTAGACCTTAATGCACAGCTCCTAGAGGTTTAATGTAGCATATTTTTCACCTGGCACAGATTTATTACACTGAAAGAGAAGCTATATCTTATTCTTTGCAGTGACGCTGATTTATTTCCTGCAAAAACACAGTTTACTGTTGGAAAAAAAATTTATTCAGACAAACCTCCTCCATGTCTTGATCCAGGTTCATGGGATCCAGCCTTGTATTTAAGTTTATTGAGCTCATTTGTCACCTAACGATGAAACTGATTGTTATTCCCATGTTTGATATCATCAGTTTCAAATAGCAGAAAGCTTTTATACAAAGTCTCAAAGTGACTGATGATAAAAATATTAGCAACAGACAAGAAACAGGAGACATTTAGCATTTTACATACAGTAGCAGTGTGTAGCAGAGTGAATCATCAAATTCATTTTAAGAAAAGTTGTTCAAAGCTTTACAGTACTGAATATGGTGGACTGAGCCAGACAGAAAAACTAAACGCAGCCTTTTATCCCGTCTATGGTTTTCAGGCGGTTACTTCCACTTAGTTCCTGACTCAAAGACTGATGCAGGAAACCAATTGAAAGAATTCGTAGCGCTTTTAGCAGAATTTTCATAGGACAGACCACACCATGTACCTTTTTGTTCTCTTCTTCTATATCTGCTAGATTTCTGCGGAGAAGTTCTGCCTCATCTTCCACCAGCTGAAGCTGCTGCCTCAGCTCTGACAGGGCCTCTCCCTGCTCTCTGCTCTGCTGACCTCCACTGCTGGAGCCGTCCACTCCGGCTGCCGCCAGACTAGAAGAAAGTGGAGAGAAGCACTGTTAGCTATCAGATTAAGCTTTTTCTTAGTATATTTTTGCAAAAACATAGGTTTCACCAACTCAACCGTGAAAATAATTAACAAAATTGCAGACTTGATTCTCCCCAATGCGAGAAAATAATGTTTTTCTTTCTATATTAGCTATCACTGCATTTCAATCAGCAATCTCCTGGTTGAATCCAGTTTCATGAATGAGTGCAGATCACCTGTCCTCCCTCATGTCGTCCAGCTCAGCCTTCAGTCCTCTGTTCTCCACCTCCAGCTCCACGATCTTCCTCCCTAAAATGTTCGCCTCCTCCTCCACGAGACGCAAACGGAGCTTCAGCTCGGATTCGCGGGTGGTGGGAGGCCCTCCAGCCTCACCTTTAGGCAGAGGACTGTCCACGTCCCCGTAGAAGGATCGGTACTTCAGCAGCTCCTGCTCTAGCCGATCCTTCTCTTTGTCAATCTTTGCCATCTTTTTCCTCATCAAGATGGCCTCCTCCTTGATGAAGGCTAGCTGGCATTTCAGATCCTCGTTTTCTTCCTTTGAAGAGAGCAAACAGTTTTAAATGGATTACAGACAGAAATGTAAGAATAAGCACTAGCAATGTAGCTTTTCTCGAGCAAGTTGTAATGAATTGAGTAGTGTGCTTAAAAATCTGCATTCCTGCACCGTTTCATTGCCTAAACACACATTATAGTAGGATGATGACCATGTTTTTCCATGTTGCTTTTGCTCACTACAAATCACAACTTACTGATGCCCAGCTCTGCATATTACATTTTGTTTTCATTTGGAAATTGCTTTGGAAAATAACCACATTATGAAACACATCCTCAGGTTTATACCTTTATAATCTAATAATGCAAATGCTGACTCACCTCGATCGGTGTCTGCGGAGCCTTTCTCTCAGCCTTCTGCCCATCCTTGCTTCCTTTTCTTTTTAGTGAGAGCTGCAGGGAAACAGTGGTTACATCATCATCATCATCATCAGCTCACTGTTTTCTTACTGAAGGCAGTGATATCATCCAGATTTATGGAACACCGAAGGCTTGCTAATGGAAAAACAGGACCGCTTAAGCTCCCCCTCAAGAACATTTCTGGTAAAAATATTCAAATTCAAACCACGCTGCTCTCAGTGCAAGTGTTTTTTTAGAGCCTTGAAGTAAAAAAAAAAAAACAAGCACAAAAAAAATGTCTGTGTTCAAATGTGTATCTCATGAATCATTAATATTATTAAGACTGCTATGTTACTGCTGGGCATTGGGAGGAAATTAGTAGGCTGGCATTGTGCTTAACCAGACGTACCTGAGGTTTTAGGTTTGTTTTTGTCGTTTTGCAAATTCTTTCAAATTTAAGCCCACATATAGTTAACTTTTCACTACATAGGTAGAAAATTACATGCAGTAAAATGGCATTTTAGTCAGTCATAATGACTTTATTTAACTGTTCTTTTCAGAAGCACAGTTTAGAAAGTCCTGTATAGAACTGTGTTTCTACATTTTGTCTGTCGCACGCCTTTACATGTGTACATGTCAGACACTGGCACATACTGCCTTGTAAACACTGCTCTGTTCACCCCCTCCCTCAACTTTCACCAGTGATAGTGATACTTACCATCTCACATCTTCAGCATAACCTTGGTAGTGCCCAGACAACAATTAGCACTGCAGAACGAGAACAAATAAAGACAAACTCTTCTCAGTCCCTCACCTCTTTGGCTTTCTCCAGTTCATTTTGCAGGGCCTGTTTGGTGACCTCCACCTCTATCAGCTGCTGCCTCAGCTTCTCATTCTCCTCCTCCGTCTTTGTTCTCTTCTCCTCCACATTCTCCAGCTCATGGTGCAGACGCACGGACACATCCTTAGCCACCTGGAGGAAGGGACACAAACAGAAGGAAAGACAGGATTTACAGGCACAGCTATTGTTCATGAATATGTACAAAGATGATGATCAGGCCTCCACAGACTCACCTTCAGGTCTTGTTCCAGACTTCTGAGCAGCTCTCCATCCACTTGGCCACTTTCTGTGATCCTAAGCCTCTTTCTTTCGGCCTTCTTTAGGCGATACTGGAGGATCCGACAGTTCTTGTTGGCTCTCTCCAGCTCTCTGCGCATGTCCTGTAGCTGGCAGGCGTCTTCTTCATAGAAGGTGTCCCGCATCTCATCCATCTCTGCCCGCATCTCCTCGATTTCAGTCTAACAAAATAAATGCGTCACAAAATCATCAAATTTAGCATCTATCCTCAAATAAGAAGGTCAGACCCTTTCAAATATACCTTTCAGTAGCATTACAGTGGCTATGTTTACCATGCAGCCTGCATGCATGCAGGCCTACAACAGGTGCCACAATCACATCTCATATCGCTTCATGCAAAAGAGATCTAATTTGTCAAATCTTGGACCATATCGTCAGTTTACCTTCAGATCGTCATTTTCGTCCTCCAGCCTCTCGATCTCGTCCTGCAGCTTCTGGTCCGGCTGTGGAGCCAGCTGTGGGGTGTCGGGCTCCGGGGACAGCTCCGGCTCTGAGGCCGGTGGAGATGCTGATTTCGTCTGCATCTTTGTCCCTTTCTTCCCCAGGCTCTTATTCAGGTGAAACTGTATCAGCTCAGACTGCAAGCATCCCTCCTTCCAGAAACCGGGTCCGCAGCCCACCGTGCTTTTGGAGCTCTTCTTGCTGCTGCTGCTGCTCGTCGTCGCGGCGGCCTCGCCTCCTTTCGGGGTTTTGCTCCTCAGTTTGGGGGATTTGGATGCGCAGGGCTGGTCGGAGACGACGCGGTTAGGATCTGCTCTGGAGGGCGAGGAAGCATCGGCAACGACACGCGGGGAGTCCTCTGCGGTTTGGACGGGGGCGGCGGCGGAAGCGGACGCGGGCCTGCTTAGCGTCGGGCTTTCAGCACCAGCAGCCTGGACAGCAGCCGCGCCTCTGACGGCAGGAGCGCCTCCGGCCTGCCGCTCCCTGCCGGTGGAGACGGGAGAATGACCTCGGCTGCCTCTTCCTCCCCCTCCTGCTCCTCCTTGCTTTGACGTGATGGGCTTTGATGAGTTGCTGCCCTTCTGCGTAGCTTTGGACCCGGCGTCTTTCAGGCCGGCCGGAGACGACGATCGCTGCTGCTGCCTCCGGCTGCTATTGTCTGGCTGCCGCGGCGCGTCGGCAGATGATGGGTTCATCATGGTGTCAGAGGCTCAGATCACTCTCAGCGGCACCCATCCCTCCAACAATACCCCTGCAGCTGCAAAAAAAAAAAAATCCAACTGACTTTTCAGAACTACAGGCTACAAAAGATGGACATAATCACACATCCCTGCCGGTATTCTACAGGTCCATCAAATAGTTTGTTTCTTGGACTTAAAGAACTGAGTTTGCATCGAAGCACCATAATGCATTTTACACCGAAGCCCTCAGTGAGGCTAATTAGGTTACAGTGGAAAGCTGCCAGCAGGTAGGTGAGCACCAGTGATAATGCAGCTTCAGATGTGTGTGAGATCAGCTGCAGCTCGGGTAATTAGACAAGTAGCCTACATTTGCGTCATATGCGCCCAAAGGGTGGGCAGGGGGCGAAGACAAGGTAATGTCATTAACCCAGAAGCAGCAGGCAGACAGTTGGACAGCACTGCTCTTTCAGCTGACAGAAAGCCGGTTCTGATGTGATCCAACAGAAACAAAGGATGATCCAGAGGAGCTGTCAGCCTCACTGTCAGCCTCCACCTCAGTCCTCAGCCAGCATCACCGATGACTTATTACTCAGATGGATGGAGAATAAGACACAAAAGTGCCACTTAACCTATTAAAAAAATAAAAAATATTCCACTGTTTGGCACAGTTTTGCCTCTTTTTTTTTTTTTTTTGCTTCAAAAAGCACCAAGAATCGACTTCCTGTCACACAGTCTCTCAATCAGCGCTGATGAATTGAAGAATTAGTCCAAACAAGAAAAGAAAAAACAGCTCAACTTAGCGCATCGCTCCAAGTGTCTCCTCCATAAAAACAACTGGGAGCAGCAACAGTAAATCAGCCCACCTTGGAGGCCTGACAAGCACAGAACAGAATGTGGACCACAGACACACATTTGCCCTTCATTACAGGTTACTGCCTGTCACATTCATCCACGAGGCGCACGAGTGCTCAAAGAAAAAGACACAACAACGTGGAAATCATCAACTCCAAATCCATTTCTTACCTTTTCTGGGTGTTTTGTCGGAAGCTGAAGGGTAGTGGTGATGGGGAGGCAGAAGAGATGCTGAGTCGAGCGCCTCCCAACCACCGAGCAACCTGTTTCAATATTCATGACATTACATCATCGCTGGGAGGAGATGAAGCTGCACGCAGCAGGCTGCTCTCATTGGAAGAGGACAGGATGCTCAGTCTGTCCTGCTGCCTCTCTCTCTCTCTCTGAGCAGAGGCTGGACGCAGCTCCAAACTCACCTTGTATTCATTCATTCACCTTGAATACACGGACTCCAATTGTCCATCACTGAATAAATATCCTAAAACTTTCATTTCAGCATTTTTTTTGTTTAATTCCAGACAAAATTGACACTTCAGTGGACATAATTCAACAGCTGCTACTGCACGAGAGCAAGTGCAGCAGATTTATTAAGGATTTAAGTGCATGCCAGTGTTGTGGAAATCTGGATGAGCTTTTAAAAAAAAACAATCAAGGTGCAACATTATTTGTCTTTTTTATTTGATTAAAGTGTAATGAAGAGGAGAATGTTCCAGCTGAAAAGGCAGAGCTCATACACCTGGATTGTGTTCAGAGGTCTGACCAAGCAAGACAATACAAGTTACTGCAGGATTTGTCCTTCAAACATTATAGTCTGAGCTTCTCAAGAAGATAGGACACTCCTAAGCCGAGGAATGTATATAAGAAAGTAAATAGTGCAGTCAAACCCAGACTATGACAAGGGTTGGTATCTACATGATAAATTCACTACAGCTACATGCTGCTACAATGGCAGGAAGCACAATTATCTGTTTTTTACAGGAGTGACTCCTGAGATTTTTTCCTGGCTGATATCCATGCCTGTTATTAATACCCAAGAAGGTCGATGACTGAGATTAGGAGCCGGTATCAGTCATCAGTGAAACATTTTAGTAAAAATCTCATTGTCAAACTTTAGCATAGCAAACTTCAACATAAATCTTGTTAAAATGTCTTTGCTTACATTAATTACAATGTGCATTTAAAAAAATATGTTGTCAACATGTATCTTTCACTGTTGATAGGCTGTTAGGACACCTGCAGAGCAAATGTAGCATGTTGAAACGTATAGATTTCTTATCAGTGATTGATTTTAGAAATAATATTATTGATAATCAGAAATATGCTGAATATTGTATCCACTAATCAACCAGACTGATGAGTGTTTGACCCTACTTGTTATAAAACCTGTCATTTAGTCATCATTTAAATTCTAATACACAGGCTTGCTTAATATTTCCTGCCCTTGTCTTAACATACAGTAAGGTACACTGTAAAAAATAAAATGACAAAAAAAACTGTTTGAAAATGAGTGTCAGCAACAGCTGTCAATCAAAAAACATAAAATTACAGTAAAATATCCTAATTCAAACAATGTGCAAAAGCTGTAAATGTACACATTTTCATTATAAGCTTTGCAGAGAATTAATGGTGTTTCTTTTTCCTGAATGATTACAATCAAACTACTTCAATAAACTGAAAGATGGGAAAGTTTTGCTGTGAAACAACTTTATTTAACAGATTTGGCCTAAATTATTACAATCATTATTACAATCAAGCACCTTAAATCAAGTAAACACTTCAGATTCACTTTTTCTGATGGAAATTTACAATATTGACATATTATTTACTAACAGTTCTGCAGACCTGCCCTGCAAAAATTTAAAGAATTTCAATCACAAATACTTCCAGTAAATATCTCGAGGAAAAAGTGTAAAAATATGTTGTCGTTTTTCAAAACTTTCAAAATCCTGGTAGTACCTTCTCCTGTTTCTTGGCTGCTGCCTTGTTCTTCTCATTTGTCATCTTCTCTCTTAACTTGTAATCCCAAACTGAAGCTGGTGCACACATTTCTTCCATACTCACATTAGTCAGTGTTTGGATCGGGGAGGCTGGGTTCCACTTAGTATTGTCATGGGACAAATAAGAAATTTAATTTGGAATTGTGTGTGCCACTCAGTTCTCTCTGCATTTGTCCAAATCTGTGTTGTCAGGAAATGGAAATTTGAAAGGTTAGGTCTGAAAACAGGTTGTGTGTGAGTCTTTCCAGTGGAAATGGTTACTGAGAACCATTTGTTCTATTCGGAAAAAAAGGACTTCAGGCTCACCGTAAACTCAAGGCATCGACACTCTGATATCACACTGCGCCACGCTGTCAGGGTCACAGCGACTAGTAGTTTGGAGTTTTTAATTGTTGGCCCTGTGTCGATAGCTTTCTTATATCTGATAAGAAACAACATCTGATTAAAGCTGCACAACAAAGGAGGTGGACTGGTGTTGTCTGCATCGCCACTGTGTGAGTAAAATAACAAGTAAGTGTGCAGGAGGTGCCAGGAACTGACTTGGATTGAAAGCTGGGATTTGCTCTGCTCTGTAAGTTTTATGGCATGGGCTTTAAGCTTCTGTCAAGGCTTCAGTAACCACAGCTCTTGGCCTCCTACTTCTGTACAATCCATTTGCTTCTGTCACTGCTGCTTTTTACAACACTATATCTTAATCTGTGCAAAAGCAGCTAGTCTATCTATTGTAATCACGGTTTAATTGCCGGACAGAATGTTGTGGAGCCAATCAGCCAGATTTGAGAAAGAACAATGATCCTTTTTTTCCTCTGAATAGGATAACAGATGTTTGGGGTCTTGTGCTCCCTTTCACAAACTCACCACTTCCCCCACCTCTAACCTCCTTCTGCTCCAGGACCATTCAATCATTTGCCTGCATTAAAGTGACAGTCGTCTGCATCGCCGAGCCTCATGCGTCTCAGTCAGGATTATAAGCAAAAGAAGGTGACAATTGCTTTTAAAAAAAAGCATTGTATCATGATCTGAGAAGAAATCAGCTCCTTTAATCCCTGTGTGATGCTGGATAAATTCCAAAGATTGACATTTTTCTGTTACATTTCAATCCTTGTCGCTGTTTTTTTGTTCCTACTTAATGCATCCATATGCTTTAAATGCTTCCTGGTTCTTCATCTCACACCATTCACTGGAGTGAGCACAAGAGTAGAGGACAGGATACGAGAGAGAGCCCCTGATGAACATCTTTCTAAAAATAACTCCCTCATTCATTTCACACACCCCAGTCTCTCACATCCTCCATTATTCACAGGCCCCCTTAACCCAAATCATCTCAGCGACACCGTGTGTAGACAGACATCCCATGCGGTGCCCTTGTCACTGTGAACTATTAGGAATAATCTGCAGTATCACGGTGCAGGTTCAGTTAATCCCACCCACGTTTAAAACAACAGCATATCCGCCATACATCTGAGTGTGAATAAGAGCTCTGGCATCCACACAAAATCTGACATAGAGCTTGTATTGTGCTGTAAAAAACTGTGTCAACGTTTATTTATTAACAACCACTCTTTAAATAATCACATGCATTAGGTGATTTTTTTAAACCCTACTTTTTTTCTCTGTCAGTTAAGCAGTCGGGAGCTTTTTTTTTAAGTCGAGGCCTTATATTGTTGCAATGCATTTCTCCTGCAAGGCATCAAAAAGCATGCTTCTCTGGTCTCAGTTGTTGTGCTCCAGATATCAACTGAGCTTCTGACAGGCAGGGAAATTGTTACTTTGCTGTGAAATCCACAGGGGACCTGACTGAAGGAGGCAGTTCTGCTCAGATACAGTGACATATTCAGACTGACATGAACGGAAGCTGATGCAGTCATCAGAAAAAGTGGCAGTGGTGTATTGTATGTCTTTACACAAACACACACAGACGTACACGTTCTATACATCTAGCGCTGGCCTTGCGTTTTGTTCTTTTGCTGTATTCAAGCGGTGTGTGGAAGGAAAAGGTTGTTTTGTTTTAAATCAAGATTAGCATTGAATCAACAAGTCAAACATTGACAAGATAACCCTACTGGGAGGTAAACTCATCACATAGAGTTAAGGATGCCAGCTCGGCTAAATCTGCCACTGCACAATATTTGAATAGTGGTTTATAATTCTTTAGTATAAGAGTCCAAA